AGTGGAACCGTGTATCCATTCGTAATTTCATTACGCTTCATGGGCACTTGAAAATTTTTTTTTTGCTTTAAGCAAGAGACTTATTGATTTGGTTGAATCGTGAAGTATTATTGGTGAAGATATCGATTACAGGAGTTGATGAATGATATTACCTCCTTTCATAATTGCTGTTGCAAAAGCCCAGAGTGGATATGACCAGAGATTTCCAGGGGTGAGATCCGTCGTCAGAAACTGAAGAACCACACTCATGTCCGGACTTCTTTCCGTGATGCTCTATAGAAATTACACCCTTCATCATGCAACGGGTTTATTCTTAAAGTCGCGAATTCAATTACTCACTTTGAAAGCCTCGCTGGTGGTGATTTGGTTCTCCTTTCTGTATCCTGTTATTAAATCAATCAACTTAGTCCGTAGGAGGAACTCCGCGAACCACTTTGGAATTAGGCGGAAAAGGATGAACGGGGCAAACTTGAGATACCCCAGTCTGACATCCACAGCCAATCTGTTGAATAATGTTGTTTATACATTACCACCTTCTTTTAGCAAGATTTTTGGAGTGGGTCAAACTTGTTTATTGAATCTTTCTCTTGTGGGAATTGCTTTTCCATCTCCGTTTTCCATGTCTGGGTGCTTCCGGGTGTATAGAAATAGCTTCTCTTTTTGTCGCCGAGAGCGTAACCAATCAGTACTTCCTCGTTGTGTTTTTCCGAATCTGAGTGATGCAAAAATGAAAAAAATATATTCTTTTTTGAATATTCAAGTCGTATATTCCTGTTTTCGTCCAATCATGGTACACTGCACGAAAGTTAGAAATCAAATCATGATTCTTCTGGGGTATCGATCGATTCTAAAATGGAAGACTTGTTTTCCAAAACTTTACTATAGTGATGCCATTTCCTTTTTTTCCGATTCGTTGATTTAATTATAAAATCGAAATTTCGCCCTCCTGATGCATGTTTATTCTTTTCAAAACTTGCTTACGTTGATTAGCTCGTGAATTTGGCGATAAAAGTCCTTTAAATGATGTTTCCAAGAAGTTCTGATTCACTTTAAAGATTATGCTAGGAATTTCAAAATTCTCGTCCTCGACTATCAGTGCCATAGAAATCGTTTTCGTACCCATCAGCTGAATGAAATCGATATTTCCGCCTACTGCCGCGTGAATGAACACACTGGTCGGTATTTTCGGATCCATATAGGGAGAATAATGATGACCAGCGTCAAATTCGTAGCCTTTGTCTAAAAAAGTGTGACATGACCCTCCAGCCTGAAAAAAAAAAAAAAAAAAAACGGCTCCATTGGAATTTCGTCGCACTTGAATGACCAATCGAAGGAAATATTAGTGAAATTTCGAAATGGAGAAGACTCACTGTGTCATGTTGTTCTAAAACGAGCACCTTTTTCCCACCTTTCGCCAAATAAGATCCGGTCGACATTCCAGAAGGACCACTTCCGATTATTATAGCATCAAATTGCTGTCCCTCAACTTTTTGCGGAGAAAATGCTGGAATAAAATGTCTGATGATTTGTTTTTTTTTTTCAAAGTGTGGGTATTCATTTAATGATACTCACAATTGGCCAATATTTCGTTACGTTTTCTTCGATCTAGAACGATTGGTCGATTATTTGTCAGATTTTTCCTCGTGAAAATTGGATGCCTCAAAACTTGCGAGAGTTTTCGAACTACCCAAGCCGAAAAAGGAAGCACCAGCAATATCCAGAGGAGGAACAACATTTTATTTTCTAGAAAACCGGTCATCAGATCAAGATCTTTTCTTCATGCAATTATCTTCGGTATGGATTAAAAATAAAAAAGAAGCTTGACAAACCGCCGTCCGACACAACCACATGAAAAATGAGAGAATGGCGAGAAATAGTTTGTTTATTCAGAGTATTTGATTCTAGAAATGTTTGGACCTGCCTTAAAGTCAAGCGGTTATATCTATAGTCACTAGATAATATATGTTAATTTTATACACTTCTCTCGAGTCGGATTTGACCCTGAATTTAATCCACTATATTGTCTCATCCCTCGTCTAGCTTGAAAAATATTCGAATCTCGTTCCAGTTATCAAATAATGGAAAAAATTCAAGGTTGTGGACACCCGTGGTCCGCGGGCCATTGCCGGTCCGCAGAAGTTTTTTGCCAGGCCGCAGGAAAATTTATTCAACATAATACATTAATCAAAGGTAGTAATGAAGTCTATCATCTTTATTTGAAATTTCAGATAGAAAATGGAGGTTGAAATCATCTGATGAAAAATAAAAGTTTGCTTTTCTCCTGATTATGCTTCAAACAAATTTTCACCTATAGTCGAATCAATAGTTTTAATTTTTTATTCTAAGAAACCTTTCATCTTCAAGCACATGTTTCTAATTTTTTTTCAAGACTAATATATAGCTGTGCTTCCTTGCTGATCCGTGACTCAATTTTTGCAAAAAGTAGAGACTTTTCAAATACCTGTCATAAATTCTTTAAAACAAAACGTTTCAAATCCGCCAAAATTTCATGAAACTTTACCGGTCTGCGAAAAATCTCTTGGAAATTTGCTGGTCAGCAGGCCAGAAAAGTTTGAGGAACCCTGGTTTGCACGATTGCGAATCTGCAGTCGAGAATTCATTGACTCACACACTACGAAACTTATTGGCCATTCTGACGAATAATCCGGCCTGCAATCAATTCACATTTGTACACGGATGGTTCAAAAATTCTGTCAGTACAGTAAAATAAATTTATTTGTATATTCACGTTGCAAACCGTTATGGTATCACCCTTAGAACTTCGGCTAATTTGCTCAACTTTTTATTATGGCGGTCATGGCGTCATGGTCTGTTATCGTTTATATTTTGGAAAAAGCGTCACATTCAGTATCAATTACAAATAGACTGATATGATCACGATTGAATATATTCAAAGATTCAAATTCATGAGAGATTGCACATAGAACAGTATAAAACGTTTTCTTCCGACACTCAGTTTTCTCGTCTTCATTTCCACGTTAAAAAATACAATATGTACCAGAAGTAATTAAATATTTATCTCATTAAATTACTGTTCTCAGAATTCCTTCAAGGCTTCAACTGCATGACTGGTAAAAGTTGTGCGTTTATTTTCCAACCAGGAAAAATCGTCACGAATGAATTTTCTTAGAAATTACACTTTCTAATTCCCTGTAATTGAGCATCTGATAAAAGGGGATGTTTTTCCAGTTACGGTGAAAAATGAAGAATGTTACTTTTCGGAATGACGGCACGATGATCCGACGGATGCCGCCGAGGTGATCAACCATACAGCACTGAATTCAATATAGTTGAGTTGCAAAAATTAAAAAAAAAAGTTGCTAGTCATGATGCTCAAGGTCGCGTCGACTATAGACACATGCCCGTCGCTTCTGTTGTGAGGCTGACGAGTATACTGTAGTACAGTTTGTTATTATGATTCTATTATGAGTCTGCGGATTTCGATAGGGACGATATAGATTTTCTGCTCGGGTCAGAAACAGGCGATCCACGTACAGTATCATATTCTTATCCTGAGAAGTCCAAAGGGATTCTTCAAGGTCACTTTTTCATTTCTCTTTTGCGTCCAGCGAATCAAAATTGAACTCATAAGGATCCATCGACCTGAAAAATAATTTATAAATTGTTTTTGGAATATATTCTTAGAAATTATCAAGGGCATGAAAAGACTCCCAAGTATTGATCGATTTCTGAGAAAACCAGCATTTTTCAACTTAAATTTAATTTTGCTGAGTACAAATCAGGTCCAGATCGATGAAAAAAATAATAATCGTCGCGTCGAGTCACAATCACAATTCACAACACAGGGCGGATATTATTAGTGTGTCATGGTATTTATTGCAATATAATCCATGTTATGAATAGAAACCTGAGTTGGGAATTTTGAAAGAAAAAGACATCTTCATCAGGTAGGATGCATCAGGTGCCCATGTCTCCTGTCGTATAATTTTTTTTACAATTGAAAATTTGAACGGAAAAAAGTCTTCATACATGAGATGTGGTGATCAAATTTCATATTCCAGCTACTGGTGAACGTTCACAAGGTTGTTGGACTTTCTCTATACGACTAAATTCAAGGGACCAGAAACAATTGGCTGTACAGAGAATTTTGTTGCAGAAAACCCCCAAAACTTAGGAAGAGAATTGCGTAGGGCCACAAATAAAATTATAATACTGTCCAGGGAGAATCATCGTAGCTACGATTATTTTAGCTTGCTGCAAAGAAATCACAGCACATAAGAATGCATACACACACCATATAATATTTTTAATGAATGATGAACATCACAGCACACAGGGTAATTACTGCGAATGAATTGAAGATCAAGGTGTTTGTCCTTTGCCTAAATAATTTAAACAAATTATGGAATTTAGAAGTGATCGTTAATGGTGATTATTTTTTGCAATCTTCCTCCGCTATTTTGTATCTTTCTTTCGCATATGATCTTCTTTCAGTTTTCGTTGATATTAAAAAAATAATAAGTATGCTAATCGTGCATCGGGTCACAAAATATTATTCTGACGCAGTTTTTCAGATAAAAGAGGCGCCTTTCGCGAAATATGGTGCACATGTTATTTTGTACCCTGAAACTTTCCAGTCTCCTTGAGACAACGTTGAACCCTTGTAGTCCGACAAGAAAACTTTTCGATAATCGGTCGAGTAGGTTTTCTTTAGCCATGGGTACTGCGTGTGGGTTTTAATTTGATAAAAAGCTGGAGCCAACCTTAAACTTTTTAAACAATTTTTCGGAACTTCATTTTTCATTTTGTTGCAGCCTTTATCTCGCTGAATAATTCAATGCGTGGTGTTCATCTAAAACCGCAGAAGAACTTAAAAGCTCGTTCAATTGATATTTTTAGTCCAAACATAATTTTCATTTTTCGGGTGATCCAGATATGATAATACAATATTTTTTTTTAAAACAAATTTAAAATTGCAGTCATTTTATTTCTTTTGAGACACCGACACCTGAAAAATCAAATATACTGAAAATAAATCTTCTTCTCGAATTTTGAACCCTTGTTTTCATTTAAAACGTGGATCTTTTGAAATTGTGACTCGCGAATAATATTCGTCTTGTGTTGTGATTGTGATTTCATTCGACGCCTTGATCTTTTTAAAATGGTCAGTCAAGACCTGATCTATATACCGTACTCCGCACAATTTAATTTGATTCGAAAGTATTCCCTTCATATAGACATTTAGCTGGTGTGATGTTCACCTCATGGAATTATTCGATCGAATTCCCCGATTTGATTAATACAGTATTTAAATGACACGCGACTAGAGATAATCCCAGCACTCGAAAAAAGTAAAAATTAGCGACACTGACAGGAATAAAATAACATGACATCGAGGGAATAACGTGCTATTTTGATTCACGCAGAAATGAAGTCATTTTCCCCATGGGGCAAAATAAACGCCACAGACCGAATCGTTCCATCACCATTCGAAAATTCATCATTGAATCGCCTGCGCTCGGTATAGAAGGGTACAAATGAGCTTTCCATCTAATTCGGAATCGTTTTCGCGTCGTTTCCAAAAACTTTTACCCGTAATTTATCATAAAAATACCAAGCTAATCCTTCGAAAATCAAGTTTCTATTGAGAACTCTTGAAGCCGTTATTGCCCCGGATAAGATGGATGTGACGCAGGCTACTACGAAAGAATCCTCGCCGGTCAGAAACAACCCTGGAAGAAACAAAACATGGCATGATGGACCATATCACTTGACTCATTTTCAGGAAAATTTTAATATTATTTTAAATCCTACCTGTCGTGAGCCCCATTTATTAGGAATCAGGGTTTTTGCTTCTGTTGTGATCAATCAGAATATCAGAGAGTTGAATAAAATATGCTTGAGCCTTATTTGGAACTTACCAGGTTAAAAGGACATAAACAATTTTGAGTCTATGCTGCAGTTGAAAGTACAGTGCTTTTCTGGCATTCCAAAAATCATGTTTCAAATTTCCGACAAAATTTGTGAGTTATAGGTTCAGAAATCATGTTCCTGTGGAATGAACCGTGTAAAAATATTGTCAAATGATTTCTTGAATTGTATATAACTTCATTGCAAAGCATCTACATATTTTTACATAATTTTTGCATTGATGGTATTTTTGGGGAAACAACAAGCTCTCAAAGTCCGAAATGGGGCCCAAGGCAGGTAATGAGTTATAACTGATCACCTTGAAGTAAATATGGTTGAATATTCGTGATTTTCGCAAGTTTTTTCGTTTACCTTCGATGGGCGTATCGGGCCTTAGGTGCAATGATGCTTCTAAAGACATCTTATAGGGAGTGAGTGCAAGTTTTGAGTATCCTCCTGATTTTCTGTTGAAGTAATGATGAGCTGTCACGTCCGTCGCAAAGCTCAGGTATTCAACTCGACCCTGTAATCAATAAACATTGTTCCGAATATTTTTTCAGTTGAGATTTCAATTCTGGTTATTTTTAATTAGCAAAAATGTAGATTGGTTGAGCGTATATTGGATGGCATGAATCTATCCATTGGACATCAACAAGAGGAATTGTTTTGAATTCGGCTTTTAAACTTTTTTTTTGCACTGCAAGTCTGTAACCAATACTAGAGTTCTCACACATCGATCTTTAAAAAAACCATTTCACAATATCCCTCGCATTGGAAAAAAACTAACACGAAATTATCAAAAAATAATTTTAACTTGCAATTTTAAATCATAATGGGATAACATTTTCAGATAGAAGGTCTTAATTATAAGTCTTTTTGTAAATTAGAATCGGTGAGGAGTAAGAATAGGCTACGACTTGATTTTTTCTGTGACGAAACTGTTCACAATTCCTGTTTAATCATGCTTTTTCAAAAATATAGGCATTTTCACCTGTTACTAAAAAAGGAAGACCCAGGGGTACTTACCTGATGAACAGGAAAACAATTCGAAAAAAGTTCCTGACAAGTCCGGTGTTTGGATGCAAAAAAAAACCACTCCATCAAAAAGTACTAAGCTTCTCAAGCAAACGAGATTTTTATGCAAGATTTTTTCACAATATTGAGGTAGATCATGAAAATTAAAAGCTACCCATGATGAACCTTGAACAGTCATTCCGAACTATACTTGAAAAAGGAGAGTGAATTCGTAATCTTTCGTATTTTTCTCTCAAAATGTCTGATGATATGATACAATTTAATTTTGTTCATCTGTAAATAATGCGAAAGGCTTCAAACTTATATTGGAAAATGCATGTTAGTTTCCATGCTGAGCTTGTTTTCTCCAGAAATGGGTTCCTATTTTATTTCCGCTCAAGTCGTTAACGTATTGATTCGAATTCCAATTATTAAATAAGAAGGGATCTGAAGTTACTTTCAAAATCAAGCTGCTGAAGCGTATGCCTTTTTGCAAATTGGAATTTCCAAAATTTTATTCAAACTCAAGCGCCTTTTGCGATTGCTTTGTTCAAAAGACCCCAAAAATAATGTCTTCAGTGGTTCAAGAGCATAATTTAATAGACTAAATTCTTCAAATTTTAATTTTTGAAAAAAATATGCTAACCTCTAATTGTGGATGCAGTCTGTACATTGTTTCAATTGCTTTATGACCGTATGCATTTTTCCGAGCTTCATATTCATCATCGCGATGCATCGGTTTCCCTCCTTCCCATTGAGAAAACCACTTGCTGCTTGCGCACATCAGCAATTGAACGACACATTTTCCTGAAAATAAAAATCAGAAAGTTTTGTTGAAAATGCAAATAAAAATACAAATGATATTCTCACCGGGATATCTCATGCTGTAGGTGGGGTCAGCGCTACTTCCGGCCAGGAACATCATCATCGGGACCTCAGTTTCCATAGCTTCTTCGAATGACATATTCTGAACTCTTATCATCATCTAGGAAGGGAAATTAATTAATTACGGATTTTCATCATCGCTTCCTGGAATAACTTGCTTTCTCAACGGGTTCGTTCGTTGCAAAACATCTCCAGGGATGGGTGACCAAACCAAGTTCTTCTACTGTGCCGCGAAGACCCACGAAGGCGTGAAAATACGCATGAGCGGGTACTTTCACATGTTTGTTCATTTCCTCGATCCAAGGTAAAGCCTTTGGGATGTTTGAAGGAAGCAGGTGATTTATCGTCACTTCCAGTCCTGAAGGCGAAAAGAAATTAGAGAGGAAATGACGGGAATCTTCGTAGAAGTCTGCTCTTTTTTTTCAGGTAACATTTGTCTCTATAAATTGTGTTTTAAGCCTGCGATAGATTTCGGTGATTCATGTATTTTTAAGTAGAGGTTCATAAGATATTAAGATTTTTTAACGCAGAATGATCATGACTAGCCAAAGATCTTAAATTTAATTTCATATAGGCATGTAAAGATCAACTTTTATTGATTAGCTTGAGAACGACTCGAGATGTACTTTCAACACTTGTTCATTATTTTCCAAATTCTCTGCTTTGCCGGAGGAAAAAATAAATTGTGACTTAGGCCTACATTAAAACTGCAAAAATCATATCAATTTGTATTTGATTTATAAATTTCGCTTGACATTGACAAAAATACTTTGCTTGGATTAAATGCAATGGTAAAGCGAATATACGTTTCATTCAGTAGCTCAAACACTTTTTAACGTGGATTTTTCGCATCTTTCCTCACAACATTCAATCAGTTTTTGCTGAAAATAAAAATGAAAAGTATAATCACCTGCCGATGAAACAATAATAGGAGCAAAAATGTTGGTACGTTTGTTGCCTTTCTTCACAGTCACTCCACAGGCCTTTGTGTTGGAGGAATTCATAATTATTTTTTCCACATTCGCATTAACGAGTACTGTCCCTCCTCGTTCAACTATTTCGCAGCCCATTTGATACGCAAATTCGGAGGATCCACCTTTGGGGTATCCACTTCCTGTAAATAACATTTTCAACACGAATGAGTTCCAAAGGTTATCATTTTTTCCCTTGTCTTCCCAGACATTTTCGCGAATAAAATTAAATCGCTTCAGTTTCGAAACCAAGATGGTTGAAGAAATCCCAGTGGAATAGAAAATCTTCTGAAAAGTTCAGTAAATCCTGAAAATCAATTACATTCCTGAACGAAAACTAATTCCGCAAATCCACGAAAATGAGTTCCCCAACGTTAACCTCCTTTACATTCCGCTTTATGATGGGTATTTGAAAGTCCATTTTGTACTTCAACAGTGAACTCAGTTTATTGTTTAGGGAAGTGTGACTATATTGAATGAAGAATTACCTCGACAAACAACAAAGGTTGTCAAAGTCCAGAGTGGATATGACCAGAAATGTGCAGGCGCAATATCCGTGGTCAGGAACTGGAGAACAACGCTCATGTCCGGTGTTCTTTTCGTGATGCTCTGAAAATTATTTCTGTTTTATGTAACGGATTTATTTTTAAAGTTGAGAATTCAATTACTCACTTCAAAAGCCTCGCTGGTGGTAATTTGGCTCTCCTTTCTGTATCCTGTTATTAAATCAATCAACTTAGTTCGCAGGAGAAACTCCGCGAACCATTTTGGAATTAGGCGGAAAAGAATGAACGGGTAAAACTTGAGATACGCTAGTCTGACGTCCGCAGCCAATCTGTTGAATAATTTGTTTTTTCATAAAATGATCTGCGGAGCAAACATTTAAAGGTGGCACACTTTTTAATGGATTCTTTTTCTTGTGGGAATTGCTTTTCCATCTCTTCTCTCCATGTCTGAACACTTCCGGGTGTATAGAAGTAGCTTCTCCTTTTTTCGCCAGGTGCATACCCGATGCATACCTCTTCGTTATGATTTTCCGAATCTGAATATGGGATAGAGAAATTATTTTTGTTAAAATCCAAGTCTTTTTTACGTTTGTAACATTTGATGTTAGCACTCAAGTCAGGATTCACCTGGAAAACAAGCTCTAAGATACGCGAATCAATTTCCAAAACTTGCTGCTTCCAGTTCTTTGGTTGAACCAAGAGTGCATTTTCTATATTTTTATTATTTCTTTATCTAATTCGGATGTGTGACTCTTGAACCCAACGATGAAACACTGTCAAATTTTGTACAGTATTTGGAAGGCTTTGATCTACTCCGAAGAGTAAGCTAGGAATTTCAAAAATTATCTGACTCGACTATTGATGGTGTTATATAATTAATTGCGTACCCTGAAGAGGAATGAAATCGATATTTCCGCCTACTGCCGCTTGAATGAACACACTGCCCGGAACCCCTGGGTTCAGGTTAGGCGAGTAATGATGACCTGTGTCGAATTCGAAGCCTTTGTCAACAAAAGTGTGACATGCCCCTCCAGCCTGTCAAAAAAAAAGGTCCAATAAAAATCCGTCGCACTCCCATGAAAAATCGAAGGAAATATAGCTGAAAATTTCGGAATGAACGAGACTCACAGTATCATGTTGCTCTAAAACGAGCACTTTCTTTCCACCCATCGCTAAATAAGATCCGGTCGACATTCCGGAAGGTCCGCTGCCGATTATTATGGCATCAAAGTTCTGTCCCTCGACTTTTTGTGGAGAAAATGCTGGAAGAAAATGTCCGATGATTTATTTTTTTTGCAGAAAGGGCATTTTGTCTCGTGATACTCACAATTTCCCAAAATTTCGTTGCGTTTCTTTTTATCCAGAACGATCGGCCGATATTTTCTAAGATTCTTCCTGGTGAAAATTGGTTGCGTGACAACTTGCAAGAGTTTTTGAGCTATCCATGCAGAAAAAAGAAGCACGACGGTCCAAAGTAAAAACATCTTTTTTTTTCGAGGAGATCTGTCAAAAGTGAAATGTTCTCCTTTTAATTATCATCGGTGTGCTTTAAAAAACTTTATAAATATAAATTTCATTCGACAGAATAATCACAAGAAATGAAGAATGACGAGGAATTTTTCGATCACTCGGTTTGAAGCTTAAAAGGTTTCGGATTTTCGTTCAAAGGAAAAAAGTCGAGTTTTACAGTACACTCTTCACGCGTCGGATTTGCACACACACACTCACACATTTGAAGCACTATAATCCGCGTTAAGCTTTAAAAACTTCAAATTTACTACAGTTATGAAATTGCTTTGGAAAAATGCAATGAGAACTTGGACAACTGCAAGGTTGTTTGCGCGATTGCGAATCTCCATTGAAGAATTCACCAACAAAATCAAGAATCGTTTTCAATTGCATAACTTGAATTTCTGGAAACGTGAACAATCGTAATAACCTGGGTGGTGAAAACACTATACCTGATTAGGATCAAATTTCCTGCGGAATTTTCAAATTTTTTCGTGCATTTAAAATATATGATCGTGCAGCAGAGACTCGAAGAATTATTACTGCCGTCCTATGTGGTAATTAAAATGAACAATTTACGAGAACATGATTGGTAATAATGTTAAAGGTTTTAAATTTTCACAAAGTGAGTTAGCACCTGGAAAACCTCTTTTGTGGATTCAAAAACTGATGTAAACGTCTTGAAACCATTTTTTTTATTTCCGTTCGCAGTAAAAGTACAGTAGTTCGATATGCAGCGGATTTTTTAATATGCTTTGTTACATTTTCCTGGATATAATCAATCAACTCAAGTTTTGAGACTTGGGCCCTGAAATTTAAATTGTTCCTCGTTCAAATGCCAGCGTTCCTTTTTTTTAATAATCTGGACTGCCTATTCAGCTAGTAGTCGTAGTCCCTGCTTTTTTCATAGCCCCAACCTTTGTATCCAGGTTCGTGTCTGGGCCGTAAATGAAAATCCCACAGGCAGGATTTCAGCGAAGCTCATAAATAAATGAATGACCTTCTGATCCTGCGAAAGCGTAGCGTGACGCACAAGGATTTCGAGCAAATGACACAGGACATACCAGATGGAAGACACCTCTAATGCTGAATGCACTGCGAAAAACACGAACGAAATTGCATCTTCGTGTTGTTCATTAGGGGCTAGCGCAAGTCCATCAGCAATCGAGAACGACTGCGTTTTATTTCAGAACTAATTGATATATGTAATTGCCAAGTCATAGACAGAAAAGCATTTTAATTTCACTAGCATTCCCTCAAACGCGATTGTCACAAATTCAAAATCATGTGCATGCAAAAATTACGGGTAATGTTTTACCGCTACAGAAATTTGCAAGTTTTTTTTCTCAAAGGGATTAACAGAAAAAAGCCAGTGCGCCAACCGAATGGCATGTCAATTAGACCAACCTAAAAACGGAAAACGAAAATCGGTCAGCAAATTTTCCTATTGAAATGGACCTTCAAAAGAGAGTGAATCAAATGGTTTGCGTTGAAATAATAACTTTTACAAACCGAAAAAAACATGAGACCCAAATTTAGGGGTTTTTTGGAGCAAAAACAAGGGAAAACTGTTGCCAAAAAAGGCCACCGCTTTTTCCGTCCCAAAAAAGAGTCTCAATTTTTCTCGTCGAAAACTACAGAGTTTAAAATCATCATGCTTGAGCCATCAAGGAAACTTTTTTCGTGCAAAAATTTAGACTTCCAACAGAATATTAATTTTTTGAAGCTAGATTTCTGGAATGGGGAACCACACAAAAAAAGAGATCAGAAAGGCATCAAGCCAGGCACTTATTGTCAGTCAAGTTGAATCAGCATTTGAAAATTAGGCATTTGTTGCTCAAACAATTTTTTTTTTTAAGAAATGAANTTTTTTTTTTTAGAAATGAAGTTATTATTCTCAAATGGAGTATTTGACGTTTTCCAAGAGTTCATGATCCCGAAGATGTAATTGGGCGTCATCGAGAACCAAATTAACTTTTCTAATGCTGGTGAGTTGTCATGAACGGAGTTTCTAACATTAATTCTAAGACTTTCAATGTTGAGAAGTTTTCAGCTGTCAAAAGCTGTCACATTTCACTCGATATTAAAAAAAGTTCAATGAGCAATTTTCAACAGTTTATTCCTCAGGAAATGTCAGAGACGCCTGCTGAAACTCAGTATTTATTCAGTAATATCTTGGTTTTATAAGCGTCAGTTCACCTAATGACCATTGGCTAGCAACGAAAAAATTAAAGAGCTTATCAGTCAATGATGACAGTGCACCTAATAATGCATCGACCCCAAAAGGTCGAATGAAAGTCATTCCTCCAGGAAAAACAAGTATGACGAGCTTAGTTAAAATATAATCAGAGTTTTTTTTTTCGCTGACCCAAGGTTGCCAACAGCGCTATTGGCTTATTCTCAAGTCTTCCACGCGCTCTTTTCTTTTTTCTTGTAGCGGGAGATGAAAGCCGGAAGGACATCCGTTTTTATCTCGAACTTGCGCTATTTTGAATCCGCAATCATTATACTTGCTTGTCCGGCAGGCAGTAAACGACATTCGAGATTGTGTCCCAAATATCTCACTGCTGGGGGTCAGAGCTTGGGTTATCTTATCACATCAGGGATGAGCTGCTTTGGGACAAATGCGACCAGCATTCGCATCTTCCTACGCTCCTGTCAACGCCTCTGATGCATAAATGCACCGACAAGGACGAATGGGCGTAGTATAAACCCCTTTTTGCTTTATTTATTTTTGTTTTGTTTCCATCCTTCTTCATTTGTTGGATAGAGGTCCCCATGCAGCTCTTGTTCGTGGAATACCCTACAGCTATGTGGGCTGACCTGATTTTTTCGGAGCTTTTCGACTGACGTTCGAAGATAAACTTTGACTTGAGTCTGGCAGCACCGAAAGTGGTTGACAGCCTCGTGCAAAAATAATGCGAAAGGGTTATACTGTAGCATGTTCTGGGTTCCGGACTTATTGCAATTTTATGTTGATAGCTCTATCGAGGCTTAGAATTGACGATTTGAAGAAGACGTTATTGCATGTTGATGGGTTTCATATGAATAATCGTGAAATTTGAAGCAGAATCTCGACGAGGAGAACTTTGGAGAAGTACTTTATTCCGTGCTGATTCGAACAACTGCTGAATCAGTAAGACTCAGAGTTTTTCAGACTACAGTATTCCATTTGCTTGAAATTTTCTTCAAATGTACATCTTGCGCGGGTAATTTTGTATTCAACGCTCACTCAGAAGAGTAACTTTCGTACTGTATATTGAATTTTTTTTAATTTCACATCAGAGGCATTGTCTCAATAAATTAAATTTTTCAGTACTACATTGCACGTAGTGTGATCGGCAGAATTTTGTCTGCTTACAAATTTAAAATGAAATGAGTATCAGATAAGTATTAGACTCAGTAGAGATTAACTTTGGTCCGTTCAATTGATGTGCGAACAATTGTGAACTTCGAAAAGATCTTTCCAGTAGTTCTTCCCTGCGATTAGTCTCTCAATATTTCATGTGAATCCAATTTTATATAGGCAGCATCAATTCTTTGAATTTTCTCAATTCTAATATATGGGTACAATAACGTGGTCAGGTTTCTATTGCATCCGACTGTCCTCTTATTTCTGGAGATACCAAATTCAGCAACATGTAAGTGAAATTTTCAATATTACACCTCGAATTAATATGTCACGACGGATTGTACTCTGGTGTGGCCTGACATTTCCAGTCATAGTGAAATATTTGCATGCTGGGAGCCACTTGGACTTGTTCCATTCGTTCCACATTTTAAATACTGTAGTAAGGTGCACTCGTTCCATTCCCTGGTCTATCTTGTTTTATTTCAACGTGTGGAGCTGGCTTTCTAGGAAATTGAAGTTTCCCTGTGCGTGGGTGCTTCCATTATACTGATCCGAGCATCAATCGAGAATGCACCACTTGATTCGCTCTCTTTGCTGACAGCGACGCGCATTTCTTCTACTTCCACGAATTTCTAAAATCGTGAGGGAATTTGATTTTTTGAGTGGATAGAAAGAATGAACTACACGAAACTTGGGTTCATTGGGGTTTTTATATAAAGCAGCATCCCTTGGGAATAAGTGTGAAGTGGTAGTTGTTGCAGATTTTAAGCTGCATTAAAAACATTCCAGATGCAAGAGACATCTCAGTGCTGATGCAGTTACCCAGCCTCTGAGGGAATTTAATTTTAGAAGTACAAAACTACATTATGGCTGCAGAAAATAAGCAAAGCTGGAGCATCCTCACTCCTTGGATATTGAAAGAGGACTCTATTATTGTCTCTGATCACAGGTTTCATGAAGACAACAATCACACACAATCAGAAAATGCAATCTTGAATTGTGCAATAACAACTTGCTTTCAAGAATAAATAAAATCAGCAAAGAAAATATACTTTGCCTATGGCGCAATTCCCAACGCACAAACTTCTGAAGCAAATAACTCCGCGAATTTTCCACTTGAAAAATTCCACAACATCTTCACTTAAAGCTGAAGATGTTCTTCAAGTTTTCTTTGATTACATACAAATGGACCCAATTCACAAATCTTGAGATATTCCCACTTTTCTAAACCTAGCTTTTCTTCAGTGATAAGAATCTGGAAAACCTTCATGCCAGATTGATATCTCACTGATGCACAAGCTTTTGGTGCAAACAGTAACTTCAAAAGCCTTGTTTCTAAATGTAGATGAATGAATGTATTTCTGCAACAGGTAGTACAATTTTAAAGATGACCAACAGAATAAACTTGTAGATATGGTCTCTGAATTATTGGTCACAAAAGCAAAAGCCTTTGTTTTGGGCATTCCAAACCATGCCCAATAACCCAGCTGAAAACCGCGGGAAAGTGAGAGGCAAAATCCCATTGCAGATTTTGGCATTGAACAAATTCAATTCGAATTCAGATTAATACTTGTGCTAGCGTGAATACAGTTGCCCGAATGTTTTTAATGCGTTCAACTCGCCTCATAAAGTTTCAGCCTGCTTATAATTGTATTACAACTTGTTGAAATGCACACATTTTAAGGGGTCAAGTAGAAAGTACAGTACTGTATTTACACAAGCACTTTTTTATGGAACATATTGGCCAAAACAATGGGTGCATAATACGGTGTTCAGCATTGATGGAATCCAACAAAAGAATGGATGATAAAGGCACTCTGAAGCCAATTTGTGGCATACATTCAAGGGGGCACTTCGAATACAGCATATGTTCCTAGTTTTTCTAAACAATATATATAGTACTGTGTAATTTTATTTAAAAAATGTGACATGATTAACAATAAAGGAACACCATACACATTAATAAAAGGAATCTGTGCAAACCTCCAAAAACAGCTAGAAATGAAATATGCTAAATCTAATAAAGAGTGAGTGTGATCCTTCACAATGAACTTCGTGTGAAGACTTTTTTATTTATTTATTTGAATACAAGTTGAGAAGAGAAAACATTTCAGTGGGATTTTCTCTGTGCATTCTCTCCACAACATATGGTATTCAGGTTTTATTTTTAAACTGAAGCCATAGTGGTATAAGTCAGAATGAAAAATGATATGACATTTTTTTGTTCCCATTCCTTTTTAATTTGATGTTGCCTTTCATTAAGTAATAAGAATGTTAAGTTAAAAATTACCATTTGGAAATAATTCAGTTTTCAGCCATCAAAAACTTGGATGTGGGACTTATGAAGGGATATGGTTTTATTGCAAGAACATGTCTTGTCAAAAAATTGAGGCCTGAGAGTCATACTCAAGGATGAAAGGTACTCGACTTTTGATGGTGGAGTGTTCTATTCCATCTTGTGGTGGAGTCCGGATTTTTCCAGAGGGAAGCGCATTCCACTTCGACCAGTAGGTCTTTGAAATGCTCCCAGGCTGCAAACACCTAAATCAGGAAAAATCTCTCAAGAAATCCCAATTGTTAATCTTATGGTAGAAATGTAGGAAATAATACCACCCAGAGAGGAATTTTCTTTATTTTTCATGCAACATTTTCTGTAGGATTATAAAACAAAAAGTGGATTTTGTCAAGCATAGGCCTCTGTTCAAAAAAGGAATTTTTCTTATTTTCAGTGCTCAGGGGCACGACATGTTTCAAAAATATCCTGATTTCCCCGCACAAGGGTCAAGTAAAAAATGGGTACCTATACCTAAGCATACAAACTGTCAGTTCACTCAGTTTCCCCATACATAGGCGCTGAGTTGGGCTCCGGCGCTCAATTGAGCCCCCGCGCCATTCCGGACATCCGGTCCTGTCTTCGTCTCCACGTGCTGCTGACCCATTTCAAAAAATAAAAACAAAAAAATTTCGCTTGACTAAAAAAGGAAAAGTCATTCTCCCCTCCACCACGTCGGAGCAATTCGTCTCCAGCACAAGCCAGAATTCATCGTCACAAACCAGCAAGGCACTCCACCGGAAAGCGTATCAAGGCGCGGCTCCGTGACCTGCATCCGTTCCGAATAACCCGGAAGTTTTCCCTCCTACTCCCCCACCGTAGACAACACGCATTGTCTGGTTCTCTCCCCTTGTGTCGGGGGTCCTCTGGAACACCGATGATGACAATGCAGCCAACAGCGCATTTACAGGAGGAAAAAAGGAAAAAGTAAATGAAGCCCTCCGCCAGAGGAAGGGGAAGTATAATCGCAAAACCATGAGAGAGCCCCCAAATTGATAACAAATGATTGATCGACATGTTTGGAATTCTTCCCGGAAGAACAAACAAAAAGGCAGCCATAAAACGTAGATACCATACAGTGCTAAAACCCCCCTTTTTAACCCTTGTGCAGCAAAATCGGGATGTCTTTGCAAAATGTTGTGTCCCAAGAGCACTGAAAAAGTGTATTTTTGAAGCAAGGCCTAAGCCTTGAAAACTGAAATTTTTTCTAACCCAGCGGAAAATTTAGCCGGAAAAATTTTCCGCACATGGTGGAATACAGTATTTGTTGCATTCCTAACATAAGATTAACGTTCCAGATTTCTGAGAACAAAAGGTTTCACTTTTCCCAGATTTTCCCCAACTTGAGCCTAGGCAACCCAGGGGCATTTCAGCAACCTTATGTCAAACTGAANTATTTGTTGCATTCCTAACATAAGATTAACGTTCCAGATTTCTGAGAACAAAAGGTTTCACTTTTCCCAGATTTTCCCCAACTTGAGCCTAGGCAACCCAGGGGCATTTCAGCAACCTTATGTCAAACTGAAATCCACCTTTCCCCCAGAAAAATCCTGCAACTTGGCTTTGGGTTGGAAAGTAACCCTCTGCCACCCAAGAGTTGAACGTTGACCCCTGATTTCTACTGCACAAGTAAATGGAAGCCCGGGATAATTTTATCCCATCATTTTTTTTCTCAGCCACGATTTTCATTTGAAAATTTAACGAGAAGTAAGAGAAAATGAAGAAGATTGTAAATTCAAAACAGGAAACCACGGATGCATCATCATTGTAATGCCAGTAACCTACTGTATATTGATCCTAATCAACGGTTAGAAGGATGGATTGCTAGGGACAACATGCTGAGTAACTGGCTGATACATGAGTGAGCCATTAATGGCATGCAAGGCAGGCCAAGTCCCAATCCATTCATCAGTTAAATAAGGCATGATAAGTTGAATAATTCACGATTAGTTAAATAATTCTGATTAGTTAAATAATTCTGATTAGTTAAATAATTCTGATTAGTTAAATAATTCCGATTAGTTAAATAATTCTGATTAGTTAAATAATTCTGATTAGTTAAATAATTCTGATTAGTTAAATAATTCTGATAGCTAAATAATTCATGATTAGTTCAATAATCCATGATGAGTTAAATAATTCATGTTCAGTTACGTGACCCGCAAACGACATTCTACAACACGCAGAGGCGCAAACGTCGAGAAAAAATAATTCCAGTGCATGTTATTATAAACCCTCAACCTTGGACTTCGAAAATACTGATGAATTATCATGAAAATAATTTGTGATGTCCTGTCTAAAATGATTAAAAAATATCAAAAATATTCCTTTGACAGCATTCTCTTCGGGGAGAATAAACAGATAAATCGAAAAACGAATTGTTCTGCATACTGGCAAAGACAGTGTTTAGACCAGGAAATACTTTCTACTCGATTAAAATTGTACATACATCTCGCGAACTGAGGGTTTTCAAGTACAGCACAGTAAATTTTGGAAAATTCAGCATTTAAAAAATATTCAACTCCGAAACGAACGCGACAGCTTCTCAGAAATGAAGACCTAAAAATCCATCTCAATCTTGCGTGCATAACACAGCTTTCCTCGTGAATACAGTGTGTGCGAAATTTACGATCCAAGTGTCATGGGAAGTCTCATGCTGAAAGTATTGTGAATGCATTGCGTCGGAAATCAAGAGTTTTTCGGAATACAGTATAGGAAAAGAAAACAGAAAAAGATCAATCGCACAATAAGGCACATGTCGGCTGCCGATGTTGCCTCGATTTCCTGGGGAAAATCANCAAAACCATGAGAGAGCCCCCAAATTGATAACAAATGATTGATCGACATGTTTGGAATTCTTCCCGGAAGAACAAACAAAAAGGCAGCCATAAAACGTAGATACCATACAGTGCTAAAACCCCCCTTTTTAACCCTTGTGCAGCAAAATCGGGATGTCTTTGCAAAATGTTGTGCCCAAGAGCACTGAAAAAGTGTATTTTTGAAGCAAGGCCTAAGCCTTGAAAACTGAAATTTTTTTCTAACCCAGCGGAAAATTTAGCCGGAAAAATTTTCCGCACATGGTGGAATACAGTATTTGTTGCATTCCTAACATAAGATTAACGTTCCAGATTTCTGAGAACAAAAGGTTTCACTTTTCCCAGATTTTCCCCAACTTGAGCCTAGGCAACCCAGGGGCATTTCAGCAACCTTATGTCAAACTGAATTCCACCTTCCCCCAGAAAAATCCTGCAACTTGGCTTGCACTGCACTTTGCAACTGCACAAGTAAATGGAAGCCCGGGATACTTTTATCCCATCATTTTTTTTTCTCAGCAACGATTTTCATTTGAAAATTTAACGAGAAGTAAGAGAAAATGAAGAAGATTGTAAATTCAAAACAGGAAACCACGGATATTGTATATTGATCCTAATCAACGGTTAGAATGATGGATTGCTAGGGATAACATGCTGAGTAACTGGCTGATACATGAGTGAGCAATTAATGGCATGCAAGGCAGGCCAAGTCCCAATCCATTCATCAGTTAAATAAGGCATGATTAGCTGAATAATTCATGATTAGTTAAATAATTCTGATTAGTTAAATAATTCTGATTAGGTAAATAATTCTGATTAGTTGAATAATCCATGTTTACTGTACTTAAATTAGTTATGTGACCCTCAAACGGCATTCTACAACACGCAGAGGCGCAAACGTCGAGAAAAAATCATTCCAGTGCATGTTATTATAAACCCTCAACCTTGGACTTCGAAAATACTGATGAATTATCATGAAAATAATTTGTGATGTCCTGTCTATAATGATTAAAAAATATCAAAAATATTCCTTTGACATCATTCTACTGTAAACAGATAAATCGAAAAACGAATTTTTCTGCATACTGGCAAAGACGGTGTTTAGACCAGGAAATAATTTCTATACTCGATTAAAATTGTAAATACATTTCGCAAACTGAGGGTTTTTAAGTACAGCAAAGTAAATTTTGGGAAATTCAGCATTTAAAAAATATTCAACTCCGAAACGAACGCGACAGCTTCTCAGAAATGAAAACGTAAAAATCCTTCTCAATCTTGCGTGCATAACACAGATTTCCTCGTGAATACAGTGTGTGCGAAATTTACGATCCAAGTGTCACCAGAAGTTTCATGCTGAAAGTATTGAAAATGCATTGCGTCGGAAATCAAGAGTTTTTCGGAATACAGTATAGGAAAAGAAAACAGAAAAAGATCAATCGCACAATAAGGCACATGTCGGCTGCCGATGTTGCCTCGATTTCCTGGGGAAAATCACGACTGATTCGCCTTACCAGGGCCTTTGCCTCGCTTTTAGCTGATGATGTGGCCTATGGGGAGCTGTAACATTCTTCCGTGACTGGGCTTCATTCTCTTCGGGGAGAATGTCGGGCAAAAAATTACGAGTGGACCTGTTTGGTCATAGACCCTGAGATTACTTCCTGAATGTGTTCGAAACTACTGCAGTTGCTTAATTCACATGATATACTGCAGCAGGAACCGGAAGCAACTCTAGACATTTTCAGTGGCCTAGAACAAATCACGTGCCATGCTCGTACATTTATTAAACCCGCTGTATTCATTATTTTCTTTCTTTTACGACGTACCGACCAGAGTATGATACTTTTTTTCCCTTTCCAGGATGGCGATAATCGGGGTTTCATATAATTTTACCGACCGATAGGTAAAAAGAATGGAATAAATATGATTGTAGGTAAAATTTGTTTTTAAATTTTAGCTTGAAATCTACTACAGTCGAGCCTTAATAAATCAAACCTCTGTATAAGTCGAATGCCTTCCTAAGTCGATTTTTTTTTCAAGTCCCAATAAACAATGCATTGAAAAACTTCAAGGGTTTTACTCTAAAACCTCCAAAACTCGAATTTTCTGGTTACCCTCGGGCTTTTTTTGTCAGAGGAAGGAGAAAAGCAATGCAAAGGTAACTTGATAAATTTTTGAATTGAAGTGAAAGATTAATTGCGCAAATAAACCCTTTCCTCCAAGTTCAGCATCCAGTCAACTCATTCAAGAAGCAAATTGAGGCCCAGAATATCAACAATTTTAATTGCCTGCAATTATTCTGTTTTTCTCACAACGAAAATGCTCATTTCCTAAACTTGAAACCTCCCAAATTCAAAACGTCCTCAAGTCGAATTTTCTTGCAGGGCCCTTGAACTTAGACTGCAAGAGGTTCGGATGTAGTTCTTCCTAATTATGATTTCTTCCTAATTTAAGTCGTTGAATGAAGTAGTGTAAATTAAAAAAAAAGTAACAAGAGGTTTGGAAAGGATTCAAAAACGAATAAAATACATGAAAATAATGTGGGACAATAATATGCGGGGATGTATAAATGACGTTTCGGTGAAAAGTTGGCCACAAAAGTTTCGCGTTTCGGTAGACTTTTATTTTCTAGAAGAACTGTTGCAACGAAAAACTTTTCTCTGTCGTGGAAACAAGGCGAAAAAATCCTCCGCCAAGAAAGTCAGGAAATGCTGGTGAAACTTCAGGAAGAAATATCTAGCTGCTCTGCCTCGCAAAGCAGAAGTTTTTCCAGTTTTTCTTTGCTTAAAATATTTTTCGCCCTCTGTTCTATAATTCCCTCAGCTCCTGACTTGGTGGACATGCATTCAATAAATCATGAGTACTGAATTAGGTTGAAAAAATTTTTCACAGAAGAAGGTGAATCCTTTTTTTTTTAACGCAATTTATTTGCATTAGTTTGTGCTTCGTCAGCTGTTTCACCGACCCTTGGCACGTGACGTTGAGCATAATGACGAGGGAATATTGATTTTTTTTCTTTTGGTGTGTTTTTCAAATGATAGTGATTTTGCATTATTTCTCAGGACAAAGATTAAATTAATGATAATTAATTTCGACGTCATCAGAACGTTTCATCGTTTGTGCTGTGCTGTTTTTCTTCTTTCTTATGTTGAACGAGACGCTTCGAGTTTCATATCGAGGAAAGTCAAATGAAAACTGTGCTCAATTAAATGTACGTCATTTTCTGTGGAACCAAGTAATTCTTTTTGTTTTTAGAATCACGATAAGGATAGTGCTTCAAATTGATGGAAACCACCTTCTGTGTGAACAGCTAGGGCAGTGTTCCCCAACCGTTTTGGGCCCACGGACCAGCAAATCTCCTTGAACAAGTTTTCAAGCGAATTTCCTAGATATTATCTGCAGAAGGTCAAATTAGCTTCATAAACTTTTTCCAGACTCAAACAAGTTTTGTTTGAAAGATTTTCTGGTGGGTATTTTTAAAAGGTGTCTGCTTTTTTGCTAAAGATAGGTTAAGAGCAAATGAAGCACGTCTAGTGTAATGTCTTCAAAAAATTTAAAAAGGTGGGCTTGAAGAAAGGTTTCTCAGAAATAACGATTGAATATTTTTTTCTGCAGGTGAAACTTTGTCTGAGGTGTTACTGACGAAAGCAGACTTTAATTTTTCGTCAGATAATTTGAACTGTCATTGTCTTTTTGAAACTTCAGATTAAGATAAAAGACTTCATTGCTACTTTTTTATCCACTTATTGTCCTGAAGAGAAGTTCTGATGGCCCATGATAAAATTGAGATGAAACCTGGTTTTTGAGGTTTTTTTATCCTTACTGTAACTTGCTCAAAACCACCATATATGTAGTGTAAAAAATCTGCAACCCGCTTTTACGAAAATGAAATTGAGTCAAAGCCCTCTTTTCAATGACTTTTTCAGCAGACTTCATGCATTGATCTTGCACAAATTTTCTTGCATTTCATTCTCAAATATGGTAAATGAAAGTTGTTGAGGACGATTTTATCTTCTCTGCCCCATTTACGCAGGCTTTTCCTTGAAAAACAAAAGTTTCATCAGTTAGAAATTGATGAGTTAGAGAAGAACTGATGAAAGTAAAACACATGTCGAATTTGTCTCCGTTCTGCAAGTCTTCGAGAACGGAGTTTGTTCTCGAGCTGAAGTCTGTTCTCGAGGACTTACTTTCATCAGTTCTTCTCTAACTCATCAATTTTCAACATATGAAACTTATGATTTTCAAGGAAAAGCCTGCGCAACTGGGGCAGAGAAGATGAAATCGTCCTCAACAACTTTCATTTACCATATTTGCAAATGAAATGCAAGAACATTTGTGCAGGATCAGTGCATGTGTAGTATATGTGTTGAAAGGGGTTCGTTATGTTTTGATTATTTTTGTTTGTATGCCTGGAGGAAAAGTTTGAAGTTGCCGAAAATTTGTTGAGTCGTGACTGAAATTTTTGATCGACCCTCGCGAACCCGATACGAAAACCGGCATAACGAGCAAGAGAAGCTTGAGGATTGTGTAAACGCAGCACGGGCGAAAGGAGGCGTTGGGGTTTTTGCCGTATATGAAGCGAAAGGCATCATAGAGCCGAGCCAGTTTCGCCCCCTCCAGCCTCGTTTTCTGCACTTCCTGCTGTCTGTGCCGATTCCTTCGGCAAAAGCGACGTTGACGTGGCGGAAGGAAATTGCAAGGGGCTCCATGCTTTAGCCGAAGGTTTTTTTTCTTTTCTTCTCTTCTCTATTTTTTTTTGCACCCAGAAAGGTTTCCGTGTTGGGCTCTATATTGTAGGGATAGATGCCTCTGGAACTACGCACTTTTCCCCGGCGACGGATCTAAGGGGAGATCAGAGATGACGTGCAAGTCGGGTCTCAACTTGATGAACCGCCTCCGAGCTGCATCCGAATTTGGCAGGGCATTGTTTTCCTGCGAAGCCTTTATTTTACTTTTTTTGTATCAACGAACCCTACTTCGCATTTTCTTCTTCGATTTTTTTTTCAGCAGCTCTTTTCCGTCACGCAAAGCTCTGAAAATACGTGTATCTTCTGGTTCCAGAAAACATCCTTGAGAGGCATCAAGCTCGCTGGAAACCCATCTCTGAATTTATGAAAATAATGCGCGTGTATATGTATATAGAAAGGCTTGCCTCAGTTCCGATTTACTTCAACGGCGTTCATGTAATATGGGGTTTCCTTATACCTTATTTTCTTGCATAAATTTCTAGCTTACAGTAGAAGAAAGTACGGCTACTTTGCCATGAATTTCTGGTGACTAGTTCAACGCGCATTTCTGCTGAAATGCTCATTAAACTCTTAAATATTTTTATTGCAGCCTTCGTATCTGTTTTCTGTGGAATGGCGAAGTTTTTTGCATAAATATATTGTCTCTTTGTATTTCGGACTGAATTTCAGGCATAAATGATAACATCGCCGTATTTTTTGAATTCACACGCAATGTTGACTGAAATGTGAATTCGAATACCCGTAATTATCATTTTAGGTTTGATACAGTATTTATTAACGGGACTGCTTCGATCATTTGGAAGGACTACCTTTTAAAGTGCTTATTAAAGTGAATAATCCATGGCATGCAAACCATGCACAAGACATTAAAAACTGTCTAATGATGAAGTTCAACTTGAATTCTGACTTACCGTGGCCTCGGAAATGGTAAACATTTACATTTTAAGCTCCAAATTCAAGGATAAATATAGATTTCCGTTTAAATACAACCATCAGAAGCAATTTTCCATCAATGAGTTCCATCAATAAGAAATGAATGAACTTTCTTATCAGTTCTAATGGGCCATTCAGTAAATTTTTCAAATGAATTTTCAATAAGATCAGCATCTTTCCCATCACTACTGTCGAAACTTTTCAATCAGTTTTACTGTGAACATTGTGGTATTCGAGAACCACTTCTCGGGAACCAGAACCTGTGTGAAAAGTTCACTTTCAAAAGAGATACACCTTGTGTTAATGTTAAGTTAAAGAAAAGAAGACCTGATCATATCTGATGATGTAAAATCTGCATGCAGTAAAAAATCAAGGGAGTCATGACAATTTCCTGTCTTGAAAGAGGCTAGGTGAGCTTTGCAAAATTCGATTTTGGCAACGTCTATACGAGGAAAGACGTTGTATTTTAGCTTAGTCTGGATTTTCACGTGACACTATGCACATGCAAATCTATGACTTCAGCTTAAATTTAGTTCGAGAGCATATAAGTGCATACAAGTTCTCAGGACATTTTTTTATATTAAACTTCTCCATGCGCAATTTTTTTCAGCTTTGCATAACTTGCTGTTTCTCAACCTTTTCCAACACCTAATTCTGGAATACTGTATAGCAATATTTTGCTCATCCTTCGACTCAACACAGGTACCACAGCTGGTTAAAAAGCCGACTACGGTCCTCATTCAGTGCACTGAAAGCGGCGAAATCACAGAATAAATCGGGGTTAATGCTCGTACTCTCCGAGGATTTCATGGGCATGAAGGNTTGCAAATGAAATGCAAGAACATTTGTGCAGGATCAGTGCATGTGTAGTATATGTGTTGAAAGGGGTTCGTTATGTTTTGATTATTTTTGTTTGTATGCCTGGAGGAAAAGTTTGAAGTTGCCGAAAATTTGTTGAGTCGTGACTGAAATTTTTGATCGACCCTCGCGAACCCGATACGAAAACCGGCATAACGAGCAAGAGAAGCTTGAGGATTGTGTAAACGCAGCACGGGCGAAAGGAGGCGTTGGGGTTTTTGCCGTATATGAAGCGAAAGGCATCATAGAGCCGAGCCAGTTTCGCCCCCTCCAGCCTCGTTTTCTGCACTTCCTGCTGTCTGTGCCGATTCCTTCGGCAAAAGCGACGTTGACGTGGCGGAAGGAAATTGCAAGGGGCTCCATGCTTTAGCCGAAGGTTTTTTTTCTTTTCTTCTCTTCTCTATTTTTTTTTGCACCCAGAAAGGTTTCCGTGTTGGGCTCTATATTGTAGGGATAGATGCCTCTGGAACTACGCACTTTTCCCCGGCGACGGATCTAAGGGGAGATCAGAGATGACGTGCAAGTCGGGTCTCAACTTGATGAACCGCCTCCGAGCTGCATCCGAATTTGGCAGGGCATTGTTTTCCTGCGAAGCCTTTATTTTACTTTTTTTGTATCAACGAACCCTACTTCGCATTTTCTTCTTCGATTTTTTTTTCAGCAGCTCTTTTCCGTCACGCAAAGCTCTGAAAATACGTGTATCCTCTGGTTCCAGAAAACATCCTTGAGAGGCTTGCTGGAAACCCATCTCTGAGTTTATGAAAATAATGCGCGTATATAAGGCTTGCCTCAGATCCGATTCACTTCAACATCGTTGAAGTAATATGGGGTTTCCTTATTATAACTTATTTTTCTGCATGAATTTCTAGCTTACAGAAGAAATTACGGCTACTTTGCCATGCATTTCTGGTGACTTAGTTCAACGCGCTTTTCTGCTGAAATTCTCATAAAAATCGTAAATAAATTTTTTTTATTGCAGTCTTTGTATCTGTTTTATATGGAATGGCGACGTTTTTTGCATAAATTGAGTGTCTCATTGTATTTCGGACTGAATTTCAGGCATAAATGATAAAATCACGGTATTTTTGGAATTCACACGCAATGTTGACTGAAATGTGAATTCGAATCACCGTAGTTATAATTTTAGGTTCGATTCAGTATTTATTAACGGGACCTCTTCGATCATTTGGAAGGACTACCTATTAAAGTGTTTATTAAATTATATAGTCCATGGCATGCAAACCATGCACAAGACAGAAAAAACTGTCTATGGATGAAGTTCAGCTTGAATTCTGACTTACGGTGCCTCGGAAATGGTAAACATTTACATTTTAAGCTCAAAATGCAAGGATTAATATAGATAACCGTTTAAAATACATCCATCAGAAGCAATTTTCCATCAATAAGAAATGAATTAACTTTCTCATCAGTTCTAATGGGCCATTCAGTAGATTTTTCAAATGAATTTTCAATATGACCAGCATCTTTCCCATCACTACCGTCGAAACTTCTCAATCAGTTTTACAGTGAACATTGTAGTGTTTGAGAACCACTCCTCGGGAATCAGAACTCGTTTGCAAAGTTCACTTTCAAAAGAGATACAGTATTGTGCTAATGTTCAGTTTAAAAAAAGAAGACACGACTCCATTGAGACCATCCGCTTGAGCTCTTTGTCAGTTCCTCGTGCTTGTGTAATTTGGCTGATTTATATAATTTGCTGACCATGCAGTTTCAAAATAGGATTGGTTCGAAATTCTAGTTCAGTTGAATTAGTTTTCAGGTTGCTTACTGGTCCCATTGTCCTCCCGAAAAAGAGGGATGGAGAGTTCAATTTATAAGAAACACGTTCTGTTGTTTAGGTAAAAATCAATTGATATCGTATCTGATGTAAAATCTGCATGCAGTAAAAAATCAAGGGAGTCATGACAATTTCCTGTCTTGAAAGAGGCTAGGTGAGCTTTGCAAAATTCGATTTTGGCAACGTCTATACGAGGAAAGACGTTGTATTTTAGCTTAGTCTGGATTTTCACGTGACACTATGCACATGCAAATCTATGACTTCAGCTTAAATTTAGTTCGAGAGCATATAAGTGCATACAAGTTCTCAGGACATTTTTTTATATTAAACTTCTCCATGCGCAATTTTTTTCAGCTTTGCATAACTTGCTGTTTCTCAACCTTTTCCAACACCTAATTCTGGAATACTGTATAGCAATATTTTGCTCATCCTTCGACTCAACACAGGTACCACAGCTGGTTAAAAAGCCGACTACGGTCCTCATTCAGTGCACTGAAAGCGGCGAAATCACAGAATAAATCGGGGTTAATGCTCGTACTCTCCGAGGATTTCATGGGCATGAAGGGAATCCTCGCGGAAATATCCGACCGTATTCATCTGCAAAATGGTGGCCCCCGGCGAGTTGATGATGCATGCGCTGCTGGTTGAGGGAGAGAGAGAAATGAGAAAAGCCGGGGCAATTTATGTAATTGATGACACGAGCCTGTTGATTGGTGTATCGCAGGAAACGGGGTAATGATGATGATAGCGCTGACGCTGGAGCGGTATGTGGCCATTTGCCACCCGACGCGGACCCGAGACGCCAACGGGGAGCAGCGAGCTTACGCAGTGGTGTTCGTGGTGCCAGTCTTGTGCCTGGTGGTGTACTTGCCGTACATGTTCCACGCCATGATCAACGACTGTCGCAACGCCAACGGAGACACCATTTACCAGCGGAGGGACAACGTGGCCGTTCAAGGCACGATATGGTACAACTTGTACCAATGGCTTTTGCAATGCATTTTCCGCCTCTTGCCGGTGACTGTGTTGGGATGGCTCAATGTTTGCATCATCGTCGCCTACAGGTGAGTCTGATACGGGGTTTTTCGAAACCAAACACACAAAAACTATAAGTCTGACGATACGCCACGTGTAACTTCTCTTTTAATCGCTTCAAAAGGATCTTGAAGAATAGTGTGCTGGTCTCGATTACGAGGCGAATTTATGATTTTAAAAAAGAGTTGAAGGTCTGGGGAATGACTCGGCAAAAGTCTCAAGAAGCTCGGAAAAAAAGCAGAAATATGAAAAGCATGAAAGTTGATAGTTCGAAAACTTCTCTGAGTCTCTCCATCTTCACGGAGTTCCCCTAAATTTGAATTTTCTGGAGACCTTTTTTGACTATTATTTTATGAAAGTAGGAAAAAGAAAAGAACCAAAAATGTAACCTGATATTCTTTGAGATTTGTGAAGCAGTGAAAGATTAATTGAACAAATCAACCTTTGCCTCCAATTTCAGCCTCCTGTCAACTCATTTGAGAAGCAATTTAAAGACAGGTTTGAATATCACCAATTATAATTTCCTGGGAACCTTCTTTTTTTCCCCTACGTTCGAAAGTGAGTTCAAAAAGGGACTCGATCTTGGATGTGAGATTATTAGTGTAGGTTACTTAATCGGCACGTGAAATGACAGACGCGAGATCAGCATTTGATTAATTTATGCATGAAATAGATGAGTTAATCCCCAACTGACTGCTGCAGGGGCTCCCTGGGGCTATTCCAGCAGACAAACCCCCCATCTCACACGTTGCTCCAATGAGATGAGCATGCATGTTTTGTTTTATGCAGTATAGTACAGTACAGTATTTTGTTTGTGCTTTAGACGAGTGTGCTCCAAGCGGAAGAAAATGACACGTCGGCCAACAGGCGAGGAGAAACACTCGAGCTCAGACGCAGTCCGGCTGATGTTCCTCCTGGGAGTGACCAGCTGCTTGTTCTTCGTATGCATGACCCCTGTGGCAGTGCTGAGCATCATGTTCTCCACGGAGATGTACCTGGACTCCATCTCGTTCCAAGTGTTTCGGGCTGTCGCCAACACGCTGGAGATTGTCAATTTCGCCATGACCTTCTACATTTACTGCCTGTTTTCCACCGAGTTCCGGCAAACGTTTTTGCAGCTCTTTGGATGCGAAGCGTGGGGGGCCAAGGCGATCAACGGGACCAGTTACGCGGCTGCGAATGCGAATTCTCTGATCGGCAACAGGTTCAGTTCTACCAGCAATATTTTAAACTTGGTTTTCGATGCCAGTTTAAAATTCGGAGATATTTCTTTTTCAATTTTCCACGCCGTCATTTTGACATCTTTTTGACATTTTATTTCATTTATTAAGGCTGCTGTAAAAACAATTTTTGCCAGAGCGCTTGTGTTCTTCCTCTCTTTTTCTCTGAAAAATGAATATTTTTTCATTCCAGCTTTGCTTTTGAATCTCATCTCTACGTTTTCTATTCAATTTTCATTTCAATTTAAAAATAGCAGTAAAACCGTCTGTTGTACAGTCGTCAAATAAATATACACTAGTTTCTTGTAAAACAATAATATGATAAATATATGTCTGATATAATTTTGATTTATGTGTCAAATACACAGATAGTTCTTTTAAGAGAGACTTCCAAAATGCACGCAAGGAAGTTTCTCTGAGAATGCACACCGCAGTAGTTCACAAGATTCTGGTTCTTCCTGGGGGAAGTCCACTACTGATATAAAATATGAGCAAATATTAGTTGAATGACCGGGGAATCATTTCTTGGAGAAGAAATGATTTCTAGTATAATTTTGAGGTTATTCCTCCCAAAGGAAGCATTCTGTGCAAAAACAGAATTTGGAAAATTACTTGGGGCTGTGAAGCCTAACAAGTATAATTTTGGGTATAGACAGGAATTGTTGGCACTTATTGTCGAGAGGAACATATCTTGGAAATTGCTCCTGAGTCTTGAAGGGAGATTTGGTCTGGTAAAAAACATTGGAAAACTGTGTTTTGTCACAGACTTTTCCTGACGTTTCAAAATACCTATTAGCGGTATAGAATGTTTCTGAAGGAAAATCTTTTCAGAATATCAGATAACATGTATTTCAATAATCAGAAAGTCTTAATAAATTTTGGCAATGTATGTTGCCTCATTAAAACAGCAGATTTGTACACCAGTACATTATCCTTTTTATGTGACTCTTTATGATGGAAGTTAGAAAGGTACAATTCAACAATACTAATTTTTCTCGAAAGTTAATCAGCTTAAATAATATTTTAGCCGTTGTCATTGACGCAAATGATAATCTTTTTATTGGCGGGAAGCCATTGAACATATGAAGAAGGGCAGAGGCATGTTGAAGTAAATTACGGCAATGAAAAATCTGGGTCTGGCTAAAATTAATGCTGTACGCGAACATTTACTCAAGAAAGTTTGTCGGTCTCTTTGTTGAGATTTTCAACATAATTGCTAGAATCCCGTAATAATGTCTTCGAATCAAAATTTGAATAAAAAAGATTTTAAACTCGTGCTTGCATCGAGTATCTCCGCGAGTACCCGCGTGCTGCGTCGTTGTAAATTGATAATGGCTGGATTTGTGAATTGTCGAATTCAATTTAATGCTGTTTACGACTTGCTTCTGTTCTCCTGACCTTAATTCTTTCTTGTTTATGTTGAACTCAGTCCTGCATGGTTGAAGCTTGCCAGGTGAATTTATTTCACCGTCACGTTTCTTTCACCACAGTATTTTATTTTTTGCCGGGTTACTTCCGCAGGTTGATGCTGCAGCAAGTTGATAAGCAAAATAAAGCCTTGTCGGAGCCCGAGATGAACAAGTATTTGCAGCCCCCAGCAGCGTCTGCGTCTCATCACAGCAACTCGTGCGGAAATGGCTTCGAATTGCAAATTTACTCCCACTCCATGGGAGACCGGAACTCGCCCGCCAGTTTTCCGCATGAAGTTCAACTATAATCACGAATCGCAAACTTAACTTGCTTCAAATGAATGTTGAATGAGTGGCCAAGAGTGAGTCATTTTCTGCAGAAACTTGCTGATGATGGGGTTTTTTTTCTCCGCTTACGTAATATTTAAGTTCAAATTAGTATGACTTCTATTGCTGGGAATACTTCGGCGAAGGGAAATTATCAATTGCATCACTTGGGTACGACTCGATGTCTGATTTCCGCACAGGCCCAAAATTTAATACGAACGCAGCAAAAAATATATTTTTAACATTATATACCTAATTTTATACATTTGCGTGCTTTCTTTGAACGTTTTAACACAGGCTTTAGCTCTCATTCCAAAAACGCGGATTTACGAAAAAATCTTCTCGGCTTTTAAAATAACTGCTCCTGCACCTTCTCACAACAGGTAAAGCAATCATGGTTTGAAAAAATCACTGTAAGTGGGTTGCTTCAATTTTTGAGCATTTTGATCGAACCAATAACTTTTTTAATTCGGGAGTTTTTATGCGTGATGCGCTACTTATCGGTGGTTAATTTTTTTTTTGAATCTATCTTCCGTGACGGAAAAGCAGGCGTGTGGAAACTTTTTCCGGATGGAATGATCCAGAAAATTCTGTACAATGATCTCATCATTAACATTTTCATATTTTTATACAGTATAGTGGTAAATCGAATGCTGCGTGTGGATGAAAAATATTGGACTTTGCGTGGGAATCAGACTTTACTATTCTTGCAGTTTCCAATTTTTAGACGGAATTTATTTTGATCACAGACACAGCATATGGAAATCAGGACTCACTCTTGGCTACTTTTCGAAAGCAAGTGTTCATCGGGAAGAAAGTCTGGCCCATGTTTAGCTCACTCACAACCTTTGTGGAATATCATGAGTGGGAGACCAAAAAAAAAAAAAAGAGAGAGAGAGAAAACTTTGCTCATGATGTATGTTCTCTTGATGTCTCCAGCTTATTCTCTTTGTGACGATGTGATCTATCAAAGCTCGGTGAATGTAAGAGACATTCCGTCTGGAAATTATTCAATTTTGTCTCCCTTGGATTTATCTTTTATTTCAAAGTTACCAAAAAAAACATTCGCGCATTGGTGAAGTCTTACGCACATCGGCTGGATTTCGGTAGCTTTTCGAAGAAAACCATGCGAGCGTTTGTTGCAGATTTCGGGCTTTTCCGGTGTTTTGAAATATGCGAAGGTTACACTAGGAATAGTAGTTGTCATCGCAAAATAGCTTACGAATCTTTCATTTCTTACTATGACTGTTGAACCATCCGACGTAGTCTATACTCGGTGATTTGAAATGGATTACCCATTCAGTCAACATTGTACGCGTACACGTTATGTTGTGCCGATTCAAATGGATGAGGAATAAACATTCTGAAGCTGCAAATTATGCCTGATTTTTGAAATGAATTCATCAGTTGAGATTCGAGTAACATATTAAGCCTGATAATACAACAACGGCATGAAACTATGGACTGTAACTTATTGAAATAATGTATGCACGGTTTCATCAAAATCAACAAATGCCACATCAACACGATGCAATTTTCATTTGCGCAAATTTGTTTACCTTCATTTAGTGGAAGTTTGTTCAAAGCTTTTTTTCTTAAGGGGCTCAGCAAATAAATAATGATCAATGCTCAAGATTTGTGGCATATGCTTTGTATACACTGCACACACCGCATTCTATTGTGTTTGAGCGACACCTAGCATTACAAAATATAAGTATTGTTTATCTATTTTTGGGGCCCCTATCAAATGTTGCTGCTCACTGGCAATTCTCGCTTATAGACGACAAAGCTTCCATTAATTCTACATAAATTTCTGACCGGTGGGCCAATTAGTGCGGTTTGGCAATTTTATCTGTAAATGGTTTTAAAATACGGCTTTTAAATATTTCTCCCTTGTCTATTGTTTATATGCGTAGACTTATCTGGCTGCACTTCTTTTTTTTATCCCAACACCCAGTACAGTATTGGTTCCTTTACATTTGTGCAATCCCGCTTTTGATGGAATTTTTCCAGTTCCGGACACTATTCAGGCTTCAAATTCGTTATTTAATCTTTGACGGTGACGTAAAAGAACAAGTGATAGTCAATGTACCTTTTCTATATCAACATTATCGAGATGATGAGGAAATCTTCAATTATAATGATGCGCTTCATAATTTCCAATGCAATTTCCATACTTGCCAAATTTGTCACATTTTTTTTTTTACAGAATAACTATTTTGCCAAATGTGTTTGAACATCCCTTGGAGTCCCTCGTTGTTTGTTACCGACAAGTCTGGGCAGCAGAAATAATTATGGATTTTGTTGTATAACACCTTTAACATTTTTATAACTGGGCAGCGGGCATGGAATGACCAGCAGAAAACTTGTTGATCAAACCCTGTAACCTAGCTGTTTTGGTTTTAAGTCCTGTAAATTCTGTGCATTGCCTTCCAAAACCCAGACATGGTCATGGAAAACCTGAGACAGCTGCATCACGACAAGGTTACTGTTCGACCCCATTGCACCTTTTTGGAATAAAATTTCCATCAAGTTCAATCCTCCAAAGACTGTTTCATAACTCCAATCTAATATAAAAGTATAATGAAACAATTGCCTCACAAACTTGATGGAACATATTTTCATAATTTTAAGATCCGACTTTATCTTATACAGATTGAAGTCGTGAGAACATTGAGTCCTCTATGATTTCAGAAAGGGTCTCTTCATTGAATTCCAATACTTGTAAATCTTTCTTAAGCTCATTTCTATTAGGATGGAATGCTGGGCATAAGAAGAGAAGGTGCACTGGCAATGCACCAACCAGTGTCTTTATGCTGCAGGAATTACACCATTTAGACACTTTTGAAAATTGAGTACTGTATGGGCAAATTATTTCTCTTGAAAAGGATAATCAGGTTTTGTTCTTGGAGAAAATTGATTTCATTAAACTTTTTTATTTCAGTTTTACATGCATTGCATTCCAATTAGAAAAAAGATGACGTCAGGGCGAATTTCGGAGAATCTTGCTTCTCAATGTGTCGTAAAAAGACCAAAAAAGTCCCTCGAAGATTAAATTTCTGCCCAGGATTTTGGAAGCTGTCAACGATCCTGACAAAATCGCAGTGACGACCCCAAGCACAAACGTGTCTTCTCCAGTGAGGAAAAATCCTAAACATGAAGAGAAGACGTGTTCAAACGGAGATTAAATTTCATTTTCATTCAAGAATTCGATTTGACACTATTTTCTCGCCTTTGATCGGTGTTTCTGGACCCAAACACAATGACGCCTCCAGAGACATTCTGTCTGGACTGTGTACGAGTTTGGTGAACCCACCTCCTCGTCTATTGAAGTAGTCGTGACAGGTGAGGTCTGTTCCGAAGTTCAAGTATTCCACTCTGTCCTGAATCGAGTTTGCAAAAGCATTTACAAATTCAGCAATTTCGTTCTCGCCGGAAATTACTCGCATAGTGGTAACTTGTTTTTCTGGGGGCGGCATATATTCGAAATGCCTCATTTAAGGGGCAGAATCTGCATGAACCCTGATATTTCAGCTTGCAATCAACTGATAGCTCCTCATTTATGCAAAGAGCAATTGCGAACTTTGCTATACACTTTTTCAACGGAAAAAAGTGCAGTTCGTCAAAATTAATCTAACTTGATCGAATGCGTCGGCGAGTCGTAGCAGAAACTTTTTTGCCTGAACCTCCTGGTCTCGATTGTAAATTACGACTTGTGCACAATCAATTAAAAATGCCCCGAATATTTTCAACTTGATTTAGATTCCAGTGCAATATAAGGGACGCTTTTTTAAAATTAGCTATTCGCTTCCAAACGGTTCTCTTTTCATCATCTTTTCCAATAGTGATACAAATATCTTCCTTTCCGGCTCAAAAAATAGTTCAGAAATGAGCGAAGAGAACGTACTGTACTGATTTCGTAGCAAATTTAATAGCTATTTAAAGTTTTCTTTGACAGCGTCCATAAAGCACACGCACGTGATCGAAATTTTCAAAGTTGGAGCTGAATTTATTTTCTGACTGTTTCAATATTATCCAGAGATATTTTTACATCACCAGCACTTCATTCCTGTAGAGATATGTTACAGACATATTATGTTCGGAAAAAAGTATTCATCCATTATCTGAAATGCTTCATGTCGAAGAATTCATTCAAATAGTCTTCATGTCCTAGAATTCATTACAATAGTCTTGCAAAAAAATGAAATTGCTGCAAGTTCGTGTCAACAAAAATTCAGGAATAAGAATATTCAAAAACCAGTCATCACAAACGGAATAACTTTCACATTCTTGACCGCAAAAAAAAAACACGACTGACCTCCAGTTGTGGAAATAACTTGTATAAAGTTTGAACAACTTTATGTCCGAAAGCCGCTTTCCTAGCTTCATATTCATCTCCACGTTTCATGAGTTTCTCGCCTTTCCAGGGGGTGAACCATTGACTGCTCGCACAAACAAGTAACTCCACAATCCCTTTTCCTATTAAAATCCATGAATTTGTGCTTTTAAAAAAAATACTGCCTCAGGCAGGAGTCTGCAGTCGTACTCACCTGGGTGTCTTACTTCATACGTCGGATCAACGACGCTGGGACAGGACAGAAACGTGATCATCGGTATTTCAGCTTCCATTGCTTCTTCGAAAGTTAATTTTTCATACCTCTCGAATATCTTTGAACATTTTTCTCACCTTTTAATACGCCATAAGAGAGTAATTTTGCCATCGACTCACCTCCCCGAGGCTTTCATTGGTAGCGAAAAACCTGCAGGAATGAGCATATAAACCCAGCTCTTCGGCAGGTCCGCGTAAACCCATGAACACGTGGAAATACGTGTGAGCTGAATTATTGATATGTTTTCGATTTTCTTGAACCCAATCAAAATTTTCTTTGTGATTCAGTGCACTGGATGGCAACAAGCTGTCAATTGTCACTTTGGCCCCTGCGAGAAAAAAAGGGCTTTTGGAATCTTTGTTGAGTTATTTCATAAATATTGAATCGAATTCGTATTCTCTGAGGTTGGGAGGGTTCCACTCCATTTTTTCAAGCATTAAAAAGATGCCAATTTCGTAATGGATATTGCAAAATACATTGATGGTTCTGAAACATCCGAAAAGACGAGGCAGTATGCTTCTTAAAATAGTTCAACAGTTTCAAAATACTGCCTCTGATCGTCAAACCAAATTTCAATGTATCAAAGTATTTTTCTCCCGAAGTATCGACTGTATAAAGCTTATTTACTACACGTATCAATATTACGAATGTAGTATGCTGTATTTGGTCTCATATACAAAAATAATAATTCTGAAGGGAATTTTTCGAGTGAACAACCAATTGACGTACTGAATACAATTTTAAAATCTGAGGCAATTTCTGATATAAAGAATGGAAAAATCATTATTAAAGAATTATAATATACAGGCCGATTAAAATTAAAGCTCATTTTGCCCAACAAACTTTGCAATCAATGACTACAGCTTGAAATCATTCTGAACGTCAATAATACCCTTTCTATAATGCACAGACATTTTTTAGAGAAAGTTAGCTGTTACTATATCAGATGAAGTTTTTTTCAATTATTGATTACCTGCTGATGAAATAATTATGGGTGCATAGACGTCCACATTTCTTGATCCCTTTGACACAGTCACACCACAAGCCCGATTATTTGCTGGGTCTACGATTATTTTATCCACTAGTGCATTCACCAGCACTTTACCTCCACGTTCCACGATTTCTCTACACATTCGGTACGAATATTCCGACGACCCGCCCTTTGGATACAGATTTCCTGCAGGAATTAAAAAATAAAATAAAAATTATCTACGGGATGACAAATAAGCCCGAAGCGTGATTTACATAGAACAGACCAGCTAAGATTCGGATATTTCAGATCCATATATAAACGATTGGTTATTTTTGAAAAATTATAGAGGTTAACATTTAAGAATTACACCATATATGGGTGGCACAAATAATCAACAACTGCCTGTGCTTGAACATTTTTCATTTCTTTGTGCATTGAAAAAAATTTATTACCTGAGCATTTATGCGATAAAACCCGTTTCTTTTATTGTATACTATTGAGAGTTCATTGAGAAGATAACTCAAAATGACGGAGGGCAAATTTAGCTAGGAAAAAACGCCTTTAATTTTGCAACAGGCGCTAAATGCGAGCAAACTGTTGCTGTTGGGAAGAAGAATTCTTAAATTTACGTAATCTTAGGAAAACTACATTCTTAATCAAGATTATTTTTCGGATCAACTGTAATTACGTAGAAATAAGAGAATCTTGACACTTCAAAATGTTCAGAATAATCGAAGACAAATACATTTTATCAAAAACTCACCTCCAGACATGATCGCAGCCACAAAAGTCCAGAAAGGATAAGGCCATTGATTTGCCGGAACAACATCGAATGAAAGTAATTGCAAAACCATGCTCATATCCGGACTTCTTTTCGTTATATCCTGGGAAGAAAGAAAAACTCGGAAATGAAGCCTGGAATATAAGCATTGCGTCAAGTAAACTGACTTTGAAAACTTCCTTGGTTGTTCTTCTGTTTAGCTTCCTGTAATTGGTAATCAAATCAATCAAACCAGTTCGGAGAATAAATCTGGCAAGCCATTGCGGAATCATGCGTATGAGAATGAATGGTGCGAACTTGAGCCATCCCATTTTCACGTCCTTTGACAGACTGAAATAACAATTCGCATTAAAACGATATTGCGAAATTTTTGGCAGACAAATATAATACTTTTTTATGGTTTCTTCTTCTTGAGGAAACTGTCTCGTCAAATCCTCAATCCAAGTCTTCACATCACCTGCTGTGAGGTAATAACTTCTTTTCGTTTCTCCTGGTGCGTAGCCGATCGTAACCTCATCGCAATATACATCGTCCTCTGATGAAAGAAAATATATGTAAATTTCTACATAGTACTTAATTCTGGGATTATTGAAAATAATTTTGGCAAGAAATTCAGTTTGCCTGTTTTCATCCATCGGCTCGCATTCTTTTGTTCTCTATATTTTTGTTCAACCTATATGAGACAGGAACAAAATAAAGGCAATTGCTGAATAAATTTTCCGCGAGGATCTGGGTTAATCATCGAAAAATCTCCGAATTTACCAGCTTCCCAAATTCGATTTTTTTTCCTTTTAATTTAATTGAAGTTGGTTTGATTATTATCGGAAATTCAGTATTGTACTCACTTAGCATGCGAATAAAGTCCATTTTCCCACCAACTGCGATGTTGACAAGCACATGAAGAGGGTTTGCTGGGTTCAAGTAAGGTGAGTAATGATGACCCGTGTCAAACTCGAACCCTTTGTCTTCAAAGGTATGACAAGCTCCTCCAGCCTGAAAAATTATTGTAATTTTTTGGAAAACAATACACTAATAGCAATTGCATGCAGTTTCAGAAAGAATTGGATTCAAAATATATACAAGAGCAGTTGAAATATTGATTTAAAAAAGAGCTCATCTTTGATTAGTAGACGTTCGGGAGCTATGTGCATTTTAAAGTGCATTTTAGCTTTGATTATTGCGCAGATTTTTTTTTGGGAATCATGTGATTTAATCAAGAATGAATATGAATATTTTTGACATAAAGGGATATCGTATTTACTATGGAGTGTTGTTCCAGCACCAGCACTTTTTTCCCGGCTTTCGAAAGGTAAGACCCTGTTGACAATCCAGACGGGCCACTGCCAATGATAATGACGTCGAATTTTTCTCCTTCAATTTTTGCGCTAGAAAAATCTGGGTAAAAAGGTGAATTTTCATCAACTTTAATGATCATTTGCAAGTGGAAACAAAACTGTATGCTCACTGTTAGAGAGGATTTCATTTCTTTCCTTTTTATCCAGAACAATTGGACGGTCGAATTTGAGATTCTTCTTGGTGAATATCGGGTTTCGTATAATTTCTATTATTCTTTGGAGAAGGCACAATGAACAGAAAATCAATCCGATCGTTCCAATGTATTCTAAAATCATTTTGAGAAGACCCTGCAATAAAATTCGAAGTTTGCCAACTTCATTCAAGGATCCAAAAAGGTTACCTGCATAGTCATTGAAAAAGATTGTAATCATCAGTGATTGCGGGAATCATGTACTCTACAAGTCCCATTGAAAATCCATTACTTTCGGAAATCATATACGCCGTTAAATCCAGGAATTTTTTTATGATTTCTCTATCGATCAAATGAAAAAAATCACGCTAACTTCTCACTGTTCTGAGTGAATCTATCATATTCACATGAATTATTCTTGCTGGTTTGAGTGACAATAATGAGCAGACAAACCATTTTTTCTTGTTTTTTTCTTTGAAATTTTATTCGCGTCGATTGATTCTGAAATGACACGTTCAACATAATTCCCTCATATATTATTATTACGGTACTGTGATGCGTTATTGCGAACTGGGTCGATAAGTTCACGGTTGCACGGATTTAGTTGGGCGACATCTGTCTAAAGCTTTTGAAACTCCAGTCTAGCTCACAGTGCAAAGAATCCAGAGCTCACTCTTAGCCTCGCTGACGCACGCCGATAGCACAAAAAAAAGTGGATAAATGCACGAATGTAGTCTATAGTGAAACATCTGCAATTCAACGCAGATTACGAATTTGCAAAAACATCGTCTCACATCGTGAGGGTGATCATGTTAAGCCGGAATGAACGATCAATACATAGCTACCAGTTCCATTATATAAGCGTAATTTGCTTTCATTACAATAATAAATTATATGGAAGTGGTGCGCACATCAGCTATATATATTTTATGCAACAGCAGGTATACAATATATACACTGTATACCTGATGTTGTACACTGTATGCCAACATAAGTATACGTTATACCGGTATATGCACTCCAAGGACTCGATCTATATACACTCATTAATTTATGCTGCGTATGTTAAGATACCAAACTCAGAATATCAGAGAAGGCGGAAATCTTCACGGTGCACGAACTCATTGTCACTGCAAAACACTTTTTATTGAAGGTCAAGTCACAGAGCACAATATCAGCTTTTCTTCTGGGAAAAAGATGATGTCGCCACCTGCGGCGTCGACTGTCTACTGAAGCGCCACACACGCACACACAAATCGCGGTCCGCCATCGTCATCGTCCTTCATGATGCTCGCAGGCATTCTGTTCGTTTTCAAGACACGATTTAACCCTTTGCATAGAGATCAAGGCCTTATATCACGCAGTTATGTAGTGTGTACTGTGATGAGAAGACATTTCCGACGATGAAAAAACTACCCACGCAAAAATGCAACCATCGTCAGCACGGTCATACCCACAAAAATGAAACCAGCATCATCAGCCATTTGTGAACATTTCCATAAATCAGCAGGTACAAAGCCTAATCCAACAGTGCTGCCCAACTCAGATGTGAACTATAGGGTCGCACTAATACATATTTATGTGGCCGAGCTATAGCTAGCAAGGGCCAACTTCTTGTACAGGGGGTGAAGAGAAGAGTCCTCGCTGAGGGCCAAAATACGAATTAATTCTTGAGGTTCCAAATGTTTCCCTTCTAAGTGAAACGTTTCGAATTTCATCCAGTACTGTACTGCGCATTTAATCACGAGCATAGTCTTTCGTAATTTTTGAACATTAGAGCAAGATTGTGGATGTTTAAATTCATCTCTCCATATATACTGTAATTTGAATAGAGGTATAGCAGCAGCTGTGCCACCTTGAAAATAATACGGAAGGTACTTGAGGACAGATGAAGAGTCTATGATGAGGGCAAAATCTGGCCCAGCATAAGCCGTATGCGGGGCAGCAGCGCTGGCCTAACCAGACATTATTTCCATATCTGTCCCAATAAGAGAACCGTGTGGAAAGATTATACAGTGGAGCCCTGAGATGCGGACGTAATAGGTGCTTGATGGACCTTATTTCAATATTGGAAATATTGGCAGTGTCCTCATCTTGAGACATTGTCCAGATGTTGCAGTAGATTTTTTCGGCTGTTTTTTCACTTGATTATTAGATGAATACAACTTTTTTCAAACCAAGAATAACATGAGTATTTGTTCCAATCGATATGGAATTCATTCAGTTTGGGAAGTAAATTTATGTTTTGAAAAATATGTTATCCTACAAAATACTCAATGGTTTGTTTTTAAGTTTCCTTCTCCGTTATCTTTTCGTCCAAAGAAAAAGGACAGGGTTTTTCATGCAGCTGCTTTCCTTTTTTGGTCTGACGTCTTTTTCACATCAACCCAAATTAATGCACAACCTATTTATATGTATACAGTATATATACTTGCTGCAGACGTTTCCCTCTTCCTGATGACAGTGACAGATGGCAATCACCGCTTCCTGCATAAATTACTTCATTTGTAAAATTTTTATAGTTTTCATGTGAACATGTTCTTGGGAACACAGCATCTGTAAACCAAGACTCAGATATATGCTTTGAAGCTCAGAAACTATCAACTAATTTTGATTCCCTGAAACTATATACAGTATATTTGTGCTTTGTGTTACACTCTTCAGAATTGATCCAGAGACTCCCACAATTGTTCTCAAGAAGCCATGAATTGTTTTAGCAAGACTTTTTTTTTGAATATTGAATCAATTACTTATTGACTATGAAACTTGTGTGGTAAAAAAAGTACAGTCAACCCCTGTCTAACGGACTTGATTGGTGCAAGGGACAAGTCTGTTATACAAAAAGTCCTTTACACAAATTCAATTACATAAAAAATTGAAAATTTCAATTTTCAACACTAATTTTAAACCAAAATAAGTCTGTTTGGTGGATTTTGTCTGTTGGGCAGGAGGAAAAACTGCTTGCAGAGCTGGTTTGTTTGGCAAAAATCCCTTACATGGGAGGTCCGTTAGGTGGGGGGCCACTGTATAATCCTATTTCATATTTGAAGTGTATTTCAAACTGTCCCAACAATAAGGTCTCAGAAACTTTAGAACAAAGTAAGAAGACACAAAGAATAGACACTTTTTGGACACAACTGTTCCCACAATGACACTTCAAGACAGACTTATGATTTTTGAAAATGAGAAAAGAATTTTATTATTTATTTTGACTGACCTGGATCCAGTTCAGTATATTCTGCAGTATGCTCCGGATCAGGCCTTTTTTTTTAGCAGCATAGGATTGGCCAGAAGAATCAGAGTTGAAGACAACCCTGAGGAAGAAAGTTTTCAAAGTATTGCAGTTTTGCTATACACTAATAATTTTATCCTTTGTTGGTTTTTCCACCCAATTTATTCTTGCCTAAATCAATGAAGAGGCAACTAAAATATTGTAAGGAAGAGTTCGCGCTAATTTGAAATTCATGAAAATTCTAATAGGAATTAATTGGAATTGCTTCGAAAATTTAGGAATAAAACGTCACGAAATTTAATCTCCTTTGAAACGACGAATTGATTCATTCAACGAATTTTTTTCGGTCCCTGTCCGCAATAGTGAGAATATAATTTTTTTCTCGTGTTCACGAATTTTTTTCATAGAAAGAAGATTGTTCAAGGTCCGAAACGCTTCGTTGTAACGAGATTCCGCTGTATCGAAGTCTCCATGTTTTATTCCAGAGCGAAAACTTTTTTTCATGTTGTAGTCTTGGTGAGGGTTTACATCAGAAGGTCGATGACACGCAGTTTTGTTTTTTTGTTCTCATGTCGTGCCTCGGCCGATTTTACACTTTGACAAGCAATTGAGTTTGAAGTTTTTTGAACTCGTACGATTTCAAAAAGAAAAAATCTTGGTATTTTTCCCTTATTCGAGGCCGACTGCGGTATAAAGCTTTCGAAAGTAATGTTGACGTCGTTCAGTTTTCAGCCAGTATCAGGGCGAATTTTACTGTTTCTGTCAGGACTCTGAAAACAGTTTCTTCCCTTTGAGTCCATTTGAAATATTTTACCTTTTATTTTTTAGTACAGTATCTTAGTTATTCTCGGTTCTTGTGGAAAAGTTCATTTACAATAGTGGTAGAATAATCGGAATAAAACCTGTGCACGGAAAAATTGTGTGCTTTATATTTTTAACGTTGATCAATTCAAAGTGAAAATACTCAGGCAGTCGTACTATTTTCGATTATTATATCTATAAATGCAGTTAAAACGAACGTGAAGCTTTGAAAATTGTTTGGCTGTTTTCTGATATTCCATTTCAATAGTTTATTGAAATTATGGGAGAACTGGAGTTTTTGAAACACGACTGAAAAAAAGTTCTGCACGGAAAACCCCGTCATATCCTTGAGACGCGGATATATTTCAAAAATTAAGATGCTGTAGAAAGTTCTGTTTCACAATAGGTATTTTTAATTTATTACGGTTATGTATTTTTCCAACGAGGAAACTTATTCAAGTCCACATAATTTCATTTCTCAATTTTTACGAATTCAGTGAAAAATAATGATACATTCCGATATTTCGTGTGCACCGCCCTCGAAGAAATAAAAAACGTTGTTGAAATTTAATTAGAATTGAGGCATGTTCATAATTACTTCATCCACAAAAAAAAATTCTCGTTCTCTTATAATAGCCTATTCATATACTGTAATTCCCTGCATTGGAAGTGCGATCTTCGGTTGTCATTATTTCTGAATCTCTTGATTAATTCAGGCAGTGAATATACCAAATCGAATAATTTATTCAAAACGAAATTCGAGATGAAATTTCAAAATCTGTGTGGGATTTTCGTGGCAATCCTAGGAATTTCCTTGGGTATTTTCTTCACCCTGACTAATTGCAATGTCACATGTGAGTATTACAAAAATATTTTATTGCTCATCTTTTCCTTTAGTTATGTGTGTTATTGTGAGCTGAAGTCACATGATCTCAATTAAATTTAACGCAAATTATATACATATTTACAATAACGGTTTTTGTACATGATCAGAGAATTTTTTTCGTTGAGATTTTGTTCATCATGTAAAGAAGGAATAAAAGCTTCTTTGCAACATCAAAATTTCCGAAGACAAATCTCCCAATTTCTTGAAACGGTATTTTGAATAGACCATAGGGAAAACGATTGAAATTCACCAGCCTCATAAAAAACACGAAGCTTGATGCTCTTTCGGGGATAAAAATCAGCGCGAATTTCCTCAAGGTTTCGCAATTTTACACTTGTATACCATTTTTAATACATTTATTTCATTTTAAAATTGAAGACCTACGGAAATCAGTGGCGGGGGAAATCGCCGAGGCGATCAATAATAACCCAGCCGAGTCCGAAACTGAAGTTGAACAAGGTGTCGACACATCTGTCGTCGATGTAGCGGGAAATCACTCAGTCGTGGAGTCGCAAGATGAAGGAGAAGAAGAGGTTTTCGTGGCACCAATGCAACCGACAGCGGCACAAAACGACGCCGTAATCGTCGTGGTGGCTGACGAGTCGTCGAGCAACAGCGTTCCTGTCGACTCAAGCAATGATAACAACGACGATTGCATTAGAAGGGGACTTCGCTCCGACGATTGCAACAACAACGATGATGGAAATGACGATGGTTCCAGCGGCAACAACACGTACACGATACCGCCATTGCAAGACCTGAAGGCCATTTTGTTTCCCAACAGAACGCATCCGCTAACGGACAATGCGTTGACGCGCGTTTGGGGCGTGTTCGCCCGACTCTTTCTGAACTGATGGAATTCGTTTTCTTGTCTTCGTGGACAGATGTCACTGTTGTACAGTCGCGCCGCGCCGTCGAAGAATCCCCGAAATGAAATTCGTTTATCATCCACCATTTACTGACTTTAAAATATATCTCATTCGTCACACGAAGAAGATAGAAATGAACATTATTCTGAATTATCTCAAAACCATATACTGTAATGCGAAATACTGCGAAGTGCAGACATTCGTAGACGGACAATACGTTCACGCGCTTCTTGGGGGGCCGCCTTCGAGCGAAATTGTTCTGAACTAGAAAAATGCCTACATTTTTTCGTACTCAGATGTCGCTGTTGCATCATCTCAACCCATGTTCCGGTCCTCCACAATATGAAAGGTCTTTGACATCTATTGATTATTTCTCTGAGGATTGAATGTATCAGTGACATGAAGAAGGCACCCATCATTCTTTTCATCCCTATGCAGAGAAACTTGAAAGATGAACCATTCTTGTTTCGGCGAGAATAAAGAGCTCATCCCGACGTCAAACGAAACAAAAGCTCATGATCGCCCGAATTGCCGTTTAGATGTCGCTGCAACGAAGGTGTAAATTCATGCTACAGTACAGTACTATAGTCCCAGAATTTCACAGCATCGAGGAATCTGTGATTCAGAGAATCCACCAGAGTCAATTGTTCCAAACAAATGCGATTTTATTTCACGTAATTCCAAACTCAATTTCAGAGATAAGTTGAATGAATATATTCAGCACAACACCAGTTCTTACTTCCACCCCAATGAGCGCAAAGCTTTGATGAACAATGTGTTGTCAACTTGTGATCAAGAATTAAAAAAAAAGAAAATTCTTCCCTCGTAGTTTCTCCATGCCATGACCTTGACCAGCGCTTATTCAGCTATTAAATGTGCATGTGTCAAGTACAATGCGAGAGCTCATAAGGAAAGATTCCAACGCATCTGTTTCAGCTTCAATGCATCCTGTATACTCAATGTGTCCAATAAAATATAATAGTTATGCAACAACAAAAAATCACCTTTCTAGGATACCATGATGCAGCATGTGATATTGAGTTTTAAGTCTCCATGCACATCTCCTACACAGTTTCATTCGCAATTACAGCATCATCAATCTTGGGAAACATGCCTGCTCAGTGGACATCTGTGAAATTAATTGCACATTCCCTTGTGCATGAATCCACAAAATCCATTACCAATCATCCACTAATTTTTCAAACACGCATTTCACAATTTCTCAGAATTCTGCAGATATTTTTCCTTCAAGTTTCAATCTGATTCATCATTAAGTTTCAAAACACAAATTCAGAAACATCAGTTCGAAGAAAAAAATGCCATCAGTGAGGATTTGAAAATCCATAATTTCAGTTATGCCTATACAAAAGTCAATGTCATGGAATTCCTCAAATGCCATGGACTTTAAGAAAAATTCAAATTGGTCCAGGAAAATAAAAACGAGGAAGGAAAGCCAGATGTCGCCTAGTTATTTACTAAAATTCAATCAGATGCCAAGTGGTGCTCCGTTGAAATGTGATATGAAATTCAATACGTTTATCAATAAGGAAATTTCATCCAATTCTTCAACCATATGTGTAAAAAAGTAGACATTACTGTATACCATTTTTAAAACATGTACCTTCTAGGATTTCTGCTGGGACTTTGAAAAACTATTTTTTATAATGAAAAATTGACTGTAGCAGTATTTGTTGCAATGAGATTTTAGCATATCCCATTTTCAATATACAGAGGCCCCCTGCCTCACAGACCTCCAGTGTAAGGGATTTTTGCCAAACAGACCAGCTCTGCAAGCAGTTTTTCCTCCTGCTCAACAGACAAAATCCGCTAAACAGACTTCTTTTGGTTTAAAATTAGTGTTGAAAATTTAAATTTTTAATTTTTTATGTAATTGAATTTGTGTAAAGGACTTTTTGTCTAACAGACTTGCCCCTTGCACAAATCAAGTCCGTTAGACGGGGGTTGACTGTATACAGTATATTTTTTGTGGACTCTGAAAAGTCCATTAATTTTCTAAGAAGTTTAAGCCACTCTTTAAAGATATAAAATTCCCTAGAATAATGGTATTTCACAGTTACTTAAAATCACCAACTGAGAAAAAAGTAGCAGGGTTTTGTCTTAAACAATGGCTATGCAAAAAAAGTATTCCTGATAGATTTTCAACAACAAAATTTTACAGGTCTCTCAATTCTCAATTTTTAAACCCCCTGAATGATAGCTGGTCTAGAAAAGTCACAAGTTCATGAAAATGTTACATCCATTAGATTTTATAGGATGCAAAAGTTTGAACCCTACAGATAGCATACGTTTCCAAAGCATGGATTCTAAACCAAGCTGTAATTGGAAAAAAATTGCTTCACCCATTTTTGTAACATAAAACTTGATTGGATTATGAAGGGAAATCACAAGCAGTCCCTAGCTTTCAAGAAATATTCTCAATCAATGCAGGTAATTAATGATGAGGAAAATACTGTAGAGGAACTTTGCCAGGTACTGCATTTTACTTTGATTATTTATATCTTTGCAATCTGCATAGGAGAAGAAAAAAAATTTGCAAGAAAATGTAAATGAAGATATTCTGAGCCTAAACTTGCCTCTTATAATGAGTTTACTCCTTACTGAACTTGGAGGCAGAGGTTCATTTGCTCTATTAGTCTTTCACTTTTCAAGATGCACCAAATCATTTCTTTTATTGATTTTCTCTTTCCCATTTCAAGGAATTAACAACCACAAGGTCTCAGAAAATACAACTTACAAAATTTGACTTAGGGAGGTTTGACTTACAAAGGTACAACTGTATAAAAAACGTTTTCTCAATTCCCAGTGGAAAGCCCACAAATTACACATTGAAACAATTCCATCATAAAAAAACTTCCCAATGCCAGTGTAGAAACTTTTTTGAGGCATATTAAAAAGATTTTCCAAACAAAGATTTCCTTACTGAGACAAGGAAAGTCTTGAATTTCTGATCCAAAAATGTGATTGACGGTTCTTGTAGCATGGATGAAAGCTGTAAACAATGACATATTTGCTTCCAAGTGATTCCACAGATCATCCTCCCAGAATGAAGAGCAGTATTCACAGCATCCACACAAAATTAAAAGATTGGTGCAACAGATCAAAGTCATGCTTGACATTAAACTGTTTTCAGATAAGATCATTTTGTTTAATGATAAAATTCTAAAAAAAAAATCAAAATCTAATTCATTGTGGGCAGGTCTGGTGTCAAAAATTGTTCCAGTCCTTGATTTTCAATATGTTGTCATAACAAATTAGACATTTTAAAAAACTTTTTCTGAAGACCCCAAGAGTTTATTGCACCAAGATTTACACTTCATCACAGCAAAAGCAAGTTTTTACATATTATTTGAGTGCTTGAAAGGATGTTTGTGTACCTCAAATACAATTTGAAAATTTAAAAGGTGTCAATTATAACCATGACAAGTTACTACATGCGCACACACTCCATTTCAAGAAATGAACAATGTTTCCATCAGACAAGCATATATATGGAAAACGCCACTGGATTTTCAGCTCTCTGGGAAAAAACATCCATCATCTCAAGGACAGCACATTATATCAGAAAAGAACTTTTGCAAACATCCACACTCCTTTTTTTTTTTTGAAGACCTGCTTGTTAACATTTGACAAAGTAATGCCTGAGTGATCAGCTGACATTGTCAGCCTGCATTTCCGGATCAGTTTTACAAGGTACTGGTGTCGTTCAGGGAAAATCTCCTGTAGTATATAAGGCACCCAGAGATGAACCAGGGTCATCACTTCAGTCACCGACGGTCAGTCGATCCGAGCCAAGCTTCATAAAAATATAAAGTATTTACTGATAGAATTTTCACTGTGGTCACCAGTTTTTGCTCGCAGATTGACGAGTTTTAGAGAGAAATCGCTCATTTTCAAAATGGTGCTCAGTGGCTCTCATCACTTCCGAGTGGCAACATTCGCAGCCTTCTTTGCATTCGCATTTGCGCAAAACTTGGATGTGAACACTTTCCAACAAACAGTGAGTATATATTGAATGAAATTCAATAGAATTTAGATCTCTTCTTGCATAATATCCAAAGTTGATGGGGAACTTAAAAGCCTATCCATAAATTAAAGTTATTGAATTATATTACAGTCAAACCTCTCTAAGTCAAACTTTAATAATGGAGAAGCAAAAAAATTGGACTTGGGGAAGCTTTGAGTTAGGGAAAGAATTATATTTGTTTCAGGAGGCATAGAAGATTTAAAATGACAGAATTCTGGGCCTTGAATTGCTTCTTAAATGAGATTACAGGAGATGCAGAACTTGGATACAAGGGTTCATTTGCACAATTAGTCTTTCACTCCCTTTTAAACACATCAATTTACTTTTTTCATTGATGTTCTTTTTTCCTGTGTGTCAAGAGGATAATTGCCAAAAGGCCTCAGAAAATTTTAGTTATGGAATTTTGAGAGGAAAATTCTTTGAGTCACAAAGGATTTTAATGCAAGGTTTCTGAGGAAATTTTAGATGGGGACTTGAAAAAAACATTTTACTCAGGGAGGTTCAGCTAACCTTCACAAAGGGTACACAAAGATATTACAATACTAAGTGCCTCAAACAGGTAAATTTTTGCCTTGGGGCATTAGTTCTTGTTTCAGCCCTCAATTATGCAAAAAATTATTTTTTTTCATGGGTAGATGTTGCTACAATAAGTTACAACATTGCATCACTGAGATCTGATTCAATTCATCATCACCCCAAAGAGCTTTGTATCCATGCATGACTTAAAAATGCCTTAATGTACAGTAGTATAGCATAACACATGTACTTGGTTAATGGTTGCATTATTAAAAAAAAATCATGAAAATCATTACACATCATACTTCTTGAAAATATACACTCTCTCTTGATACATACAATGATCTTGTCTACAACAATCTTCTACATATAAAAAAATTTTTTTTTGGTCTCTGGAATTGATTTGTAGAGAGAGAGAGTTTAACCTTGATAACTCAAACATTCCAAAGTCAAATACCTCCCTATGTTGAATTATTGGTTTGGATTCGGGAGTCTTGGTTGTGCCTTGTGAACGCTGAAAAGCGGCAAATAAAGTTTTCTGTTCATTCATTCATTCATGTTGAATTAAAAACATTATCTCCAAATTCCCCTAAAATCAATGCATTTGAAACCTCCTCAACTCAAACGCTTTCCCCGTAAAACCAAAATAACTTAAATTTTCTTGAGGCCTTTTGGCTATTATCTTTGTGACCAAAGAAGGAAAAAAGCAATAAAAGTCTAACTCGATGCATATTTATTCAAAGGAAGTGAAAGAGTTCTTGGGCAAATGAACCCTTGCCTCCAAGTTTAGCATTCCGTCAACTTGTTCACAAAGCCAGTTTTTGGCCAAAATACATCACCAATTTCTACTTCCTTCATTCCTCATTTCATTTGAAACAAAATTATAGTTTCCCCTGAATTCAAAAAATCTTGAAGTCAATTTTTCTTGGCTGGTCCCTTGGACTATGACTCGGAGAGGTTCAACCGTAATCTTTCCAGAATATTCTCAGCACAAACACTAACCAAATTATATCTTCTCAAAGTTACTTACGCAGCACGTTAATTAAGGAAAAGTAGAAATTATTCAATCTTTAATCTACGTTGGAGATGATTAGCTGCAAGCTGGTTCAATGTGAACGAACGCAACTTATGAGAAAAAAAAATTCATCGCAGCAATGTATAAAAAGAAGCATCACGAAGGAAATAAAAGGAAATTTATGGATCTGGTTTCGTTTTTAACGAGAAATATCCACTTGATTCCAGCACTTATTCTATCATGTTTTTCTCATCATCGTAGCTCGAGAACGGATGTCTTTGTGGCCGAGCTTTTTATTCTGGACAGAGAGAGAAAATTAGGTTGAACACAATCAAACGATGCGCCGAAGCATCTTCCATTACCGTGAAGCCGTTTGTACCCTCAGGTAAATCTTCTCATCATACGCACGCTTCATTTCATTGCGTTTTCAAGACGAAACCCCTACAATTCAACTTCGAATTCACCTGGTATCCTTTTTTCATAGTACCACTCGCCAAGGAATGTCCGGAGATGGCAATCGCTACCTACGGAAGGCTGAAGGAATTCGCGACATGGAGGAAAGAGTCTTATGCAAATAATTCAGCGGCTGGAAGTGCATTCGATCACTGCTTGTACAGGGCACTCGGCTACGTAAAAATCTCAAATAATTAAAATCGAAACATCACTTCCCGAAGAAACTCATATAACTTATCATTCTCTCATCTCAGGAAAAGGAAGACGGCTCAGTTGACCACGAAAACTTTCACAAACTGTTGATCGAGGGCTATTCGAAAGTGCCGGGCTTGAGAAAGAACATCAAGGCTTTGGAATTGCTGAAACAAATCACTAGCGCGGCGAAGAGCGATCAGTGCAAAGCTATCACGGTAAGATTTTTCTCACCTCGCTCGTGCCTTTCTTGTACCGATGATTCCATCTCGCTCAACAATAAGTGAATCACACAATTATCTACAAAAATTCTCTCGTAGGATGTCAAGAACTTCGCTACCTGCGCACTGAAGCCTTGTTTCGGATCAGCAGCAGTTCCGGACACATGAAGAACCCCCAACTACTGAACGCAGCATTTGGATGACGGACGTTCGGAAATCGCGGCATTTAGTGGAACAGTTTTCACTTCCCTGGCATTGCTTGAAGTATTATTGTAGATACATTTGCTCATTCCTCATGGTGAAATACAATCACAAGTACTGAGAAAACCCATGTCTATTGTTTCGGGAGTGAGATACATCAGACGAAATCGTTAACCCATCTATCGTCGATGTCTGCGTTAGTGCATGAGTTGTCATGGGATGGGTTAGCGCTGTGATGGTGCGATCCGATGGGTTTTCTCGCTAATAGGGAGCGACGTTTTCCACCAACCGTGGTTGGACTCGGCATGGGATCATTGCCACAAACGTCGGACTCTGGAGGGTACTGTGCGACAACGTAGACCAATTATTCATCCTTTTTGTTCCGCATAAATAATCACATGGAATGAGTAAAAATTCTGAAAGTATTCAGTTCATAGTTTCCTGAGCTTTTGACCAAAATGAATCATGGGTTTTATGAATGCACAGGGTCAAATTCCAACGAATGCACATGATACCGGAGACCCGCGCACAGCTGATAGTAGACCTTCTCCGGAGTCACACTCACTCTCCTGGGGCAGCGTTTATGGCTGCTATCCCTTGTTTCAAATGTGTACGGCCAGCGACATTACCCATGGACAGGTTACTCTTAGCCTGAGGCGAGATTTCGTCTACAATGCGTGCGCTGAAACCACTACAGTATTCGGATTCTGCTTGGCCCGTTGAACTTACGAACAATTTTCTACACAGCTTGAAATTGATTGAGAAATACTAGAATGGAGCAAGTTTCTATGAAAAATCTCCAGAATCGCTCATTCACAATTTGAGGATATAATATTTTGAAATACCCCTTCTTTAGGGGATTAGAAATGTGATCGTACGCAAATTATCTGAGGGGAAGGCAACGAAAGGCTTCCAAAAACTGTCGAGATTCTTGAATTGTTCGCGTTTTCAAGGAACCTACAGTATACCGACCCACCCGGACACTCTCGAGGATTGAGCAGGTGATCCGTAATTGGTTTCTCTTTCCTTCTAGCGGTTTCCCGGCTTCAAATGCTGCTGCGTCCATCGGACGTCAGACGCTGGTCTCTCATCCTGTCCTCATAGATCCTTGTCTTGGGTTCTTGGGAATTCGTACGTGATTGGAGCCCCACACGGGATATTGGACGTCTGTTTTGAAGCATTACTTCTGAGGTGACTTTCGTGTGTGGTGATACCCGTGAACGAGTTCTTGCGAAGGGATCATTTTGTGACTCAAACGTGTTCCTGCGTTTACCAATCGTCCTGGGTTTGGATACCGTACATATCTGCTGTACAAAGACCCAAGCTGCCCATTTTGTTTTGTGTGGGATGAACGTGCCACCACGTATGCAGTGTCAGACATGGATGCCCTCTTTCAACCTTTTTTGTCTTTGTATAGCTACTTATGATCGTACTAATCGCCTCGTATTTATAATTGGTGGAATAATTCTGCATTACGGGGATAAGTTTTGGTACGCTGTGTAGTGTAGGAACCTGAAAAAATCAATGTGAAGTGAGAAAACTCAATATATATTGCTGGTGCGTTCCGATATATGGTGAAGTATATGCACTCATGAGTGAATGCATTCGAATCAGTGATCAAAATATCGGGAGGAATATGATCGTAATGTAGATTTGTACTACAAAAAAAGAAACGGTGTCCTCCGTTTCTCTTGGAGCGAAACCGCTTTATATGTGGATATAATCTGCTATGGAAAAAAGCAGCTTTCTTGCTGAATTTGTGCCATCTGTTGAGAAGTAAAATTTAGTAGATTAAAAAATTAATCTAAAAAACCATGTTTTGAAAAAGGAAAAAATAACCTTAAACATGGTGCGCATCTATATTGTTTGTATTTCACTTCTTCCAAACAATCTCCATGCGCACCACGTTTAAAAAAATTAATCTAAAAAACCACGTTTTGAAAACGGAAAAAATAACCTTAAACATGGTGCGCATCTATTTCATTTGTATTTCACTTCTTCCCAACAGTTTCCATGCGCACCACGTACGTTTAAGGTTATTTTTTCCTTTTTCAAAACGTGGTTTTTTAGATTAATTTTTTAATCTACTAAATTTTTTTGTGCTTTTTAGTCTTACTTGAAAAACGTGGTTTTTTAGATTAATTTTTTAATCTACTATAATTATTTTATTCTTTTTAAAAAATATTCTTATAATTTTTTTTT